ATAATACTTTATAATAATAAATCGTCTTTATACTCTATAGATCACAAGTATCTCTCAGTAATATATTACAAAAAGTATACTTTCAATATACTTCTATAAAAGTTTCTAAAAATGACTCAAAATATAACATAACTATTTAAATAATACTTTATTCATTCCCATTTAATAGTTTAATATTCAATTATAAACTGAATTTTATATTAGAAACTCTATACTTTCTATATAAAAGTCTCGAAAAATTACTCAAAATATACATAATAAAATATAAATAAATATATTTATAATAAAAATCCTATCTATATAATCTTTATATATTCCTAATCCCATAGAAACCCAACTTTTCTCTGAGCAATATATTATAAACACTAAACTTTACACACGATTTTCTAAAAATGACTCAAGACCCCGCCGATTCTTGTGGAGACCGCCGCCGAATGAATCACAAAAGATATATACTCGTATACCGCAACCATATCTGTGGGCCATAAGCATAAATTGGCAACAAAATGAACGCAATATGGAATGCGTCAAGCTGCGTTGCACTTCATTGATCAAATCGGACGCTAAAAAAATAGATATACTATATAGTACCATATAATATGCAGATATATGGCGAACGGGACGTGACGGCGATCTGGAAACACCTGCGAGTAACCGAAACGGAAATCCAAAGTCATTATACCCCCCAAGGGGGAGGGGTAGAGGGAGGGGGGGTGAACTAAAATTATGGCTCAATATATAGACTTGTCCTTCGGAATTATTTTGTTGCCTTCAATGAATGACGTGCTTTGTTTATAATTTCCAAGTGGCTGGCTGGGTCAAGAGAGAGATACCAAGAGAGAGAGCCAGAGAGAGATGCGACTGTTCTCTTTAGTCAGTTTTTACTGTAAATTCCTCTTTCTTTTTTTTTATTTTGGTGGGTGGCACGACAACTATTTCTAGCAGCTAGAGGGAGAGAGAATCAAATTGGGGACAAGTGCAGTCAAAGAGAAAGAGCCAAGAAAATTGGAGAGAGAGCGAGAGCGAGAGCAAGGGGAAGGGAGGAGGAGTGAAAAGCTGGGAGAGAGGGCTACGCCTGCGCTGAATGCCAGAGTGAGATATTAAGGGCACTCAACAAACGGCAACAATAAAAACAATAACAGAAAAGCCAACAAGAGCAAAGAAAAGAACAAGAACCGTTAGCATTAGGCGACATTCATGATAGACAGAGATAGGGAGATGGTCTCTTTTTTTTTCTACATATATATTTTTTATATTTGTTTTCTTCTTGTTTTTATTTTTGTTGTTGTTTTCAATGCAAAGTCACTGGTGATGACACCACAGTGATGGCAAAAATTAAAGGAAGGGTAAGACCATCATTCTTATTGAATGAGGGGGGATGAATCTCAATGTTCACGCCTGTGACTGTAACCACACATGTCTAGAATTGTTGGCCAGCTTTTCTGGCCTGGTCCGTCTGGCCTGGCTAGCGAAATTTCGTTATAAATAAACCATGGAATCATCGCCCCCCCAGTCGATGCCAAAAGATCGCCGGATATTGCATAAAAATTGGGTCGATCGGGTGGTGGTGGTGGTGGTACACTACTACTGGATATGTGGGAGGTGGAGCTTTGGAGCTGATCTTTACCGAATCCAAGTTGAAGAGCGAGGAGACCTTCTTGATGAAGCCGCCACCGCTGCCGCCGCCGTCGCGCTTCTTTTTCCGTGTTGTCATCTCTATCGACTTGTTGTTGTTGTTTTTTTTTTTTGTTTTCGAATCCTTTTCGCGACACTACTACTATCACTTTTTTTTTTTTTTTTTGAAAAAACCGTTTTTGAAAAATTCACCAACACACTAACGAATGCCGGCTGCCGCGTGTCCGTGTGTCTGCGTGTGTGTTAGAGGCGGCTGCTGCCGTCTTCTTCTTCTTCAAGGCGTTACTATATATTTCAGCTTTTAAGTGCCGGGTTGGGTGATTATCCAACAAATCGGTCGAGCTTTGCACTAGATAACAACAACAACAACAAAAATCACACAAAATCGAAATTTACTTGATTTTCCGCGGGCACGCGCATATGTGTGTGTGTGTGCGTACGTCGGCGATCTCTTGGCTGCTGCTCTTCTTCACTCTCCGACAGACGCTGACCAAGTGTCGCCGCAAAAACAAAAAGCCAAACACACAATTGGTAAACGAACAAATAAAAAAAAAAAAAAAGATACGTATTTAACAAAAAAAAAAAAAACTAAAACAGCGCGCGGTTGTGGGAGAATGTGAGAGAGAGAGAGAGAGAAGCAAACAGTGCGGCGGTGGTCGGCGGCGAGCACTGAATTATTTATTTATTGTTGGCAGTAAATGGCAACGATAGCTCTCTCTCGCTCTCGCTCGGCGGTTCTATTTTTTGCGTGCGCCTGTATTGGTGTTGCATGTTCTGGAGCGGCGTTTATTGTGGTTTTGTTGTTGTTGTTGTTGTTGACGTTGCATTTAGCCTAGCATGTTGCACATTTCTTGTTGCAAGGCCCGCACGCACACTCACACGCCTTTTTGTTTTGTTGGCAATATCGATCTTGTAAGACGAACGAAAGAAAAAAAAAAAACCTTTGCCTGCCTTTTTCGTTAGCGCTGGCAATGCCTCGCCGTGCAATGGAATCCGATTGACTCTTTCGCTCTCTCCCCCACTCGGTTACGCGACACTCCACTCCCGCCGCCACAATCGAAAATAGCTCTACACTCGCTCACTCACGCCTCTTGTGTATTCCTATTAGCGATTCATATTTAATTCACATTTCAAAACGCGCACAAAAAACAAGCCACAAAAACAAAAAAAGAAACGCGCTAACCGAGGAGCGAAGAACCGAAAAAACCGAAAACAACACACCCAGCTACAGTGTTGCCAGATGATTGGAGTCTATCTGGCGAGGGTCACACTGTACTCCTCTCTGGCGAAGCGGGCGGGATTGTATGAATCGGGTGGAAATGTTCAAAATATGAGAAGGGAGTGGAAAGATGTAGGGAAACATAATCTAAGCTGTATCTTCATTCTGACTTAACCAGTCTTGGAGATTTCGCAAAATAGAGAGACCGTAGGATGATCCTCAAAGTAAGCCGATAGTTTAGGGAAGAATTATGTATATATTTTAGGGAGTTATAAAAATATATAATTCTATATAACCATTTAAAGATGTATTTTAATTTTTATATTATATTTTCCTATATTATATTTTCCTATATTGTTTAAAAATTGCAGAAGAATGCCGGACCTTTGGTCACACTAGCGGGAAGAGCAAGCCAACTCACCACTTTTGCCATAAAATACTATAAATACCCGTTTTGGTTTGCGTCCAGGCTAACACATACGATCGTGCCATAAATTTAAAGCATTTTGTTTAAAATAATTAAATAAAAAATCAATACAAACCATTATCAAGCGATAAAAACAAACAAATCAAATAATAAGCGCAATATATATGCATATATTTTTCACAATAAATGTTTCATAAAATACAAAATAAAATTTTATTATTTTTTAGTAAAAATAAAAATTAAACTTAACAAATCATGCAAAAAAAAACTTAAGTTAACAAATGTAATTAAAAATAAAAATTGCATTATCGCTGCATCATGCATTGAAAAAATGCTTCCTTAAAATTAGTAGAATAGGCTCAACATTTTTTTCGACGCTTTTATGGTACAAGGCGGTCTGGAACCTGGCTAAAATACAATAAAGTACAATGGCGTCTGCAACGCACCGGAAACGGAAACAGGCGGCGCTTGGCCCACAAACTCAAGCTCACAAGGAGCCTCAAAATGAAAAGCGGAAAGTAAAGGGTTTATGTACTATATACATACAATATACATATAAAATACATATAATATATAAAGTAGGCGTGCTCCCAATTACACTGCGACTCTAAATTGGCTGCGTTTAAGTCTGAATAATTAAGGCCCTCGAGGCAGGAAGTGCATTTCAAATGCCATGCCCACCAACCACTTTTCCAACTCAAATGTCACATGAAAAATTCAATTTCAGAGCAGTTTGAGTAACAAAGGGAGCGTTTTGGAAAGGTAATTTTGTATTGGGTACTTAGGGAGTTTGTGGGCCAGCTTATAGTATTTAAAGGCTAATTTAAGATTAATCATAAAGTTAGTTAAAATAATAAAGGATTTAAATGTTAAAATCTTTCAGATTTTCATATTAGTATGATTTTTTTCTTAAAATAAAACTGGTTGGATAAGGATAATATTGATTTTGAAGATAATAAGGATAATATTGATAAAAATATACGAGTTCGGATATATTGAGTTTAAAATTTGAATAGATTTTGTTAAGATTTCAAAATCTAATATATTTAGCCAATGAATGTAAGAAAAACAATTTATGTAATTGTTTTAATTATTAAATGGACTTTCAAAGTTAAAGATTTTCCATTTAAAAAATGGATTTAAATGCTTTAATTAAAAAAATATATATAGAATATTAAAGTTATATATAATTTACATTAATTGCTATAATTGCTATAAGAAACATAAGAAAATTATTTAAAGCCACAAAAAAATCGAATTTACTTTAAAAAGTATTTAATAAAGGATTCGAATAATTTGTCTTTCTAATTAATAAACGTCTTTTTCCCAATTTGATTATTTTTCGATTGCGAACTATCAAGTATATCGATTAGCTATCGACTTTATCGATTACTCTAGATACTTTACTTAACCTATTTAAGATAATTTTCCAATATAAAGTATTTGCCCTTTTCCCCATTTCCGTTTCCCTTTCATTGCAGACTTCTTAGGATTACAAATAATAATTAAAATTGTAAAAAAATTAAAATTAACATTAAAATTAAAAGTAAAATTTAGAGCAGGCATAAAAGCATATTATGGTTAATTTTTTTTTTGCTTTTCGAGGATGAATGTCTGAATTTTCGGTTTGGAAGGTGTGTCCTTGTGTGGCTTGGTGTCTTTGAAGGATTCTTTTCAGCCGGAGCCATTGGCACAAATAATTAAATTGCAGCGACTTACGGTCTGCGACCCACTCCGCGGCTTCGAACCCTGCGACTGGGCTGGGGTCAAAGGTTGCTGGTTCTGCTGCTGCGGCGATCGGGAGCTGCGCTGCACCTGCTGCAGCTGTTGCTGCTCGGCCGGCTCCTCCTTGGCGTTTTCCGTATCTGATTCTATGCGCATCCGCTGGTTCTACGGATATACGTAAGAGGTAAACAAAAGCGTTAAAGATAGTCTAGGTAGTGCTTAATTAAATAACAATTTTATTTTAAAATAATTATAATACTTCTTAGAGCTTCTTAGAACTTATATTCATAAAAATCTTACCAACCTGTGAGAAAACGATACTTTTTAGAGAAAGTAAATTAAAGTTAAGATGCCCGGTGCTTCAAGAGTATTTGCAGGAGGGTATTTATAGAAGAGGATTATTATAGTTATTGTAGGAATATAATTGATTTTACATTTCTGTGTATATTGTATTTATATTGTTGTTCAGAAAATATATATATTGTTCAGCACCAAAGGCCAGGTTTCTCATGGCTATGATTCTTTAAGGAAAATAACTCAAGCCCTACCAAGTAATCCCGTTGTTTTTGTGTTTTATTCCCATAGAATTATAGTTAATGTATTATTTAATACACTAGTTTAAGTATTAATCCCTGGTACTTTTGGAGTATATTTCACAGTAAAGGGATTAAGTATTTAAAGTGGATTGGAACTAACAAAGCTTTTATAAGTTTTTCGAGTTTTAAAATACTTAAAACTTTTAATTACACTCAATTTTAAAATTACATACTAAAAAAAAGTTACACCACTAAGAAAGTTCTTGGTTTATATTTTGTATATTTTATATTTTGTATTTGTTATAATTGTTTATGAATTGTATTTTTGTAGAAAACCGGAACTGAATTTTATTATGTAATTCTATTTAAAAGGAAGAAAGCTGATGAGTTCTTAACTTACATATCTGTCTTCTTTATAAAACCTTCTTTCATAAATATATGATACAAATGGATTTTACTATATGTATGTACATAAAAATTTTGTACCATTCCATATCGTCTTAATTGAGTTACATACATAAGAATGTCCTTTTTCTTTTCGAAACATGTTGAGAAATATTATAATTAATATTGAGTGAAAAAGAATTTCGGTATTTATTTGAGTATTTTTAAAGTGAAGATAGCAATAATTTAAAATTCATAAATATATGCCTCTAACCTTACACCATTTGTTTGAAATTAATTTGATTTCAATTAACAATGTTTCTTTTAAAATTAGAATTGAAACCCGGATCTTTAAAAGGAGAAGATATTTGCGAGTACTAGGTACATATGTATGTTTATAATAAGGTAATCAAATCTAATAATAATAATATAAAAATAATAATAATAAGGATATAATAGGGTAATAAAGATATAAAAATAAGGCTTTTGGTTATCGTTTCATAGTATACCCTCTATAAATATATGAGTATCTATGAGTATACATACATATCTCCAACCTTAAACTTACATTGGCGCAACAGCAGGCATACCGAGAGCCGCTGCTTGATTCTTTAACTTTATCCTTTTTTTCGTCCTTTTTTTGTCGTTCACGAGATTGGTGTTGTTGCTGCTGCTGTTGTTGCTGTTGCTGCTGCTGCTGTTGTTGTTGCAACTGCTGCTGAGGTGGCGGCGCCGTCAACTGACGCCGGCGACGCCGCATGCGGACCGGCGACCGCGAGCCGACATAATTTGAGAAGCGGCGCCGCGAGTGCCGCACTATCGACACCCAGTCGATCATTTCTCACAGAATTCCGTCTTTCGATGAAAAGTTTATTTTGATTTTTTATTTATCGGTGGTTTCAAATATCCCTGCTTATGTTCTTGATTTGTTGAGTCTTTCGGTTTTCACTTTGTGCGTTTCATTTTCTTGAGTTTGTTGGTATTTTTGAATAATTGAATAAATATTATTCGTTTAGTGAACTTTGCGGCCTAAATTCGGCGGTCAAAGGAAAATAAATGGCCTGGCTAAATGCTAGAAATCAAAGGCCCATTTATAATTCAAGAAAAACAAACACAAAATAAACACAAAAATTAAATTCAAAGGCAAACATCAAACGGAAATTGTGATGTATTTTTTTTTACAGTTATGTCTTTCTTTTCTTTTTTTTTTTTGGAGAAGAGTTGCGATAGCAACAAGTTGGCATACACACACACATACACACACAGAGAGCGACAGAAAGAGAAGCGGAAATGGCGGAAAAGCTGGAACGAATGAGATTGAAATCAGCAACCTGTCATCTTTGTCTCTCTCCATCGCCATCTCCATTTCCATTTCCAGGCTCCCCCACTCTCTCGCTTTGTTTTTTTTTTTTTTTTTTGCACAAATACAGACGCACCTCTCTCGAATGAAAATCTGTTTGCCATTTCAATTTTCGCAAGGGGTTCGGGGGAGGTACTTGCCACCCACTCAAAGCAAAATAAATAAATACAGTGGACGGCGCTACGCTTTCCGAGTTCATTTTTCCCAAAAAAAAAAAATAACGGTAAACAATAAACAATTATTGGAAAGAAGCACTCTGATTTAAACATAATACTGTGGCGGCACATTATACAGTCGACATATACTGCCCGATTCCGGTTTCAAGAAGAGTATATCCCCTCTCTTTCCATTAAACTAATATTTATGATCTCTACTGGGGCTGGTTTTGATTTATTTTGCTGACAAGGAAGCGGAAAATATGAGCAATTCAAAGGAAAAGTTTGTTTTCTTTTCAATTGGCTTTTTCCAGCAGATTTTTATTTGGACTTTGAGCTTTGAAGTTGGGGGCTATGATTTTTATGTTTTTTATAATAAAAATGTATGAGCTTTGTAAATAAAAAATAAATTAGCTTGTAATAAATTAAGTTGATAATTGAGTAGAGAACAATTAAAGCTCAAAATTTGGGAAAGTTTTTAAAAAAGGAGTTAAACATATCAAGCATATGTATGTATAATAATTCAAATAAATTGAATTTTATCATGGTATTAAGGGAAATAATAGCATTTGTCTTGATATTGAATTTTCTATATTATATGATCGGTATTAAGGGGTAATAGAATGTTCATTTATTACTGACATTCAATATTAACGCAAAAGTTTAAGAAAAAATATTTATTAAATTTAGTAAAAACTAATTTTTGTTACTTATTTATTCGTTTCCCATTAATGAAAAAAAATATATCATTATGATTTTCACAACTTAATTATGAAGGCACTAAGGCCTTTTATGGAAAAAAAGAGAAAAACAGGCTTTCTTTTCAGAGAACGCTTCTAATATTAATATGATTCTTTTTTGTTATTTTTAGTAAATAGTTTTGTAGTAGAAGCCTTCTTTTATATAAAATACTAGTATTTTTAATATGATTATTTACGATTTTTTTTTTAGAATTAAAGAAAAGGAATTGTAATATATTTTCCACCAAATATAGACATTTATAGACGAAATTTTATGGTCTGTCTTAAGTCAAGAAATTGTGGGATTTTTGAAAAATATAGAAACAGGTTCATCTTTTTGTAAAATTTTAACAAAATAAATGGTTAAGAAATTAAAAAGAAAAGGTGTTAACTTTTTGGAATAAAAGTGGGCCTTTCTTAAGAATTAAAGTACAAAAAATATACAAAACTGGCGAACTTTCATTAAAATACTTGCAATAATATAGAAAGAGAACTCCCTTTAATCTAAAAGCCTCTATAGCCTGCCACCACTATATGCTAACGTTTTCGTGTAAACTCGCTGGTTTATTGTACTGCCAGATTTGGATTTGGGATGAGACAGCAGCCAGCAGCCAGCCAAGACAGAGAGTACGTGATGCCAAGGCCCAATTGTTTACAGACTGGCAGCTCTTTGGCCAGAAGAACACATGTTCGCAGTTCCTTCGCGGATGTTCTAAATTCGTAAAGTTTTTCGAGATACTTCTGGGTATTGTATCGCGAAATTAGCAGGTGGCTTCGAGGGGGGGCGGATAGGTCGGATCGGATCTGGGGGGAAAATCCATAAGGTATTTGGTATTTGGGATTCGGGTATTTGGGTATTTGGCATGAGGGAAGGCGGCGAGCTGCCAAAATAAATAGTCTGATATATTGCCGTCGTCGCAGGTATTGTTCTTTTCTGTTGCTCTTTCGGTTTAACGATGTTTTCCAATGCCAGACGACGTTGACGGTCAGCCATGAATGAAAAACTCAATGGATCGGCAACATATATAGAGAGGAGAATATATATACTGGTTGTGTGAGAGAAAATGCCAAACAAAACTGAAAAGTTGGCAAAACATTTTACACAACTTTCAGCTGAGAAGCTGCCTTCTATCATTTTATGTTTTTGGTATAATTTCATTAATTTATGAACTCGATTATGAACTTTAGAGCAGAGTTTTTAATTAAATTGTGAGCCAACGAATAAATAGTTTTCGGAAGGCAGATGCCTGGCTGACAGCCTGCCTGCCTAGCCGAATTATAACAATTAATTAAAAGTAATGGCTCAATTAAATACTAAAATGTGTGTGTGTGCCACCTGACGGTTTTAATTTGTGAGCGATTGCTCTGCTCTGTGTGTGGCGGTGGTGGTGGTGGTGGTGGTGAGGCACGGGGCGTATACGTAATATTTGGAATACTCATCCGCCCCGTTGGCCGCCTTGTAAGTTCGGCCACCTGCCGCCTTGGCTTTTCAGTTTTTTTTTTTTTTGCTTTCTTGTTCAATGTGTACATTATGTCTTACAATTATGTAAAATGTTTGTTTTTTTGGCGCCAAACGAGATGAGTGATGGACACGCATGTGTCAGAAGAGAAATACCAACAAAAATAAAGGAAACCGGTCTAGAACTGATAAGAAAACAAGGATACACGCCAGGGCTTACACTGAGAAAATATGTAAAGACCATTCTAGTCGCTTAATAAACAAAAACAGAGTACAATTCCTTGTTTTCACTTGTAATCTTTGCTTTTTTTTTTTTTTTTGCTTTGTGCGTGCTTGTCTACAGTTAACGAGGGTTAAACAGCGTCTGGGGGGTTAAAGGTGAATCCCCACGTTCACAAAAAAAAAATACAAACAAAAAAAATAAGTCAAACACACACCCACACACACTCACGCCGGAATACACACAAACACACGCATCGTAGACAGATACGCGCCGCTATGCAAAAATTTGTGCGACTCGACGCGTCGACGGCACGACTGTTACTACCGCCGCTGCCGCTGCCTCTGCCTCTGCCTTTGCCTCTGCATCGGCCTCTGCCGCTGCCACGGCTGTTGCCGTTTCCCGCTGCCGCTGCCTCTGCCTCTGTCTTAGCCGCTGCCCTCGTCAGCACCCACACTCCACACCCACTAATGCCACCAAGCGGCATACCACACCGCACCGCACCAGACCAGACCAGACCGGGTCCGGGTCCGGGTCCCAGGCCGGGTGGATACGGCTGCGACTACGACTACAGGTCCGTTCGCCCATCCGTCAGTGATGGCGAGTCCCCAGCACACGTACACTCAGAGGCCCCAGTAATCAGGTGGAAAATGGCTAGAAAGCCAACGGACTAGATAGGTGTAGGTATAGTCCAGGAGGAGATTCTGGAACTGTACTCATCAGGTCTTGAACATACGAATCTGGTACTTAATAATAAATATTGTAAAAAAAATATAATTCATGGACTAAATGAGGCACTAAAATCAGTATATTTTCAATACAAATTAGTGTATATTCTAATATTTTAAGATATACCATGTTATCATATTATCGCCTAAATAATATATTTTTATTCATATTATTTTTTATATTATTGTATTATTCATATATTCAGAATATTTTAACAGAATAATTTTTTTTATAGCATTAAGATTTATGTTAAGGGACTGTATGCGATAGTTGCGCTACCCATAAAGCCTCATTTTTATCATTTTGTAGATATTAATTTTTTTTTACTATTTAACTTAATTAAAAGTTCTTTTTAGGCCAATTACATAAAAATATTTAATAACTTCCCTTCTGAAGACGTTTTAGGAAACGTCTTCAAATAAAAGGTGCTGTGCTCGTTTTTGGAAGTTTGGAAGATAAACTTAATCTGGACTTCACCTTACAAGCACTTATTTACAAGCACTAATTAATGAAGAAATTAAATATACTTGTATCTAAAATGGTGTATTATAATAATCCTCATGAAAATATAGAAAACTTTTAGGAAATCGAGGAATCTTCTTAACCAGAAACCAACAACTCTTAAATAAGTGTTTTCACAATTATAAAACCTAATTTTGATCAAAAATGATTTTTAAGAACACGGAAGTATTATACTAAATTAATAATAGTACTAATTATTAAAATTGTATTAAAAATTTATGTATTTTATTTCTTCAAAAAACCCCATCTATTTAATAATTCAAAAGTCAGCTCGAAAAAGGCCAACATGGCCAGAACTGAGGTCCGTCCGTTTTGGGCCACGAAGCACCCGCCAAATAGCCGAAAGCTCAGAAAGCCGTTCGGCTCTGCCGGCGTCGCCGTTTCGGCCCGGCCAAACAAAAGACCCAAACGAAACAGCAACAACAACAAAACAACACGGCACAACAAGCAAAAAATTAAGCCAAAAAAAAAAAATATGTATAGAAGACATAAGTAATGGGAACCTTGGGCAATCGTTCATTGGTTAGCACTGATAACAAACATTTGTCGGCTTTCAGGATCAGAAATCAGCATCCTTCGAGCCAGAGGCAGCTGGTCCTTGTTACAGTGGGGCCACTATTAGGGACTATGATGATGTATCAATTTTAAAATATTTTTGAAACATTTTTAAACTAAATGAAGTGGTTTTTGTGCAATTACTATTTTATTTATATTTATGGCTTATTTGGCTAATTGATAAAATTATTAATTAATTCAAAATTTCAAAAGTTTTACAAATGGTTGTTTAAATAATAAGGATATTTAAGGCATTCTTGTTTGCATTTTTGAGGTTTATATTCCTAAGTTACTTTTAAAGCTTCTTTTAGTCAATGTTAGTTTTTGAAAAAGAATGGAATAATTTTAAAGATATTGTTGTATTAAAGTTAAGTGAGTTTTTTAAACAATTTACGAACTTTAAGTTGTATAATTAAAATAAATAATTTTTCTTCGGATAAATAATTTTTCTTCTTCTTGAGACTTCAAAAGCATTATTATGCGCTTTATTCTCTAAATATTATTTTACAAATTTTTTCGTTTTATATTTATGTATTTTCAAAAATATAATTATTTTTAAGTATTCAATTTTTAACTAGAACTTTGGTAAGCTCTCAGATTTTTAAGTTTAAGCTCAAATAAAATGAATTCTAGTACCCTAATCTTAACTCAATAATTAGTTCCTAAAAAAATGTCTTTGGAAATCATTGTACTTTCAAAAATAAAATGAAACTAAACTCTTAATATCTTAATATTCTTAATATATAATCTTAATATTTCATCATTTTCATTAACGAGCAACCACTGTACGAACGTTTACCGTTCATCTACCGCCTGGCATTTACCGTTTTCCGTTCCGCCGTTATATTTTGTGTTTTTTTCCCACTTTTCTTTTCTTTTTGCCAATTTTTAACGTAACGTTTCATCGTTTCGCCGTTCCTATGAACGATTTCACGACTTGGCGATTTCAGTACGCATGTCCCTGGCGACAGGATAATGGCAGCAACAACAAAAACAACAACAACAACAACAAAAACAAAGCGCCAAAGGACAACGGCAGAGGCGTGCAAGCGGGACAGCAAGAGCGAAGCACGAAAGAGACGGGACGGGGACGGGGCTTGAGAGTGAAACGTAAATCTGAGCCTTTGTGTCTGCAGCTCCTGCTTTTTAATGTGTAGGTATAAGGGACATCAATCGTCTACAATCGAGTCCTTACAGGGTTCGAATACAAGATACCCTATTTAATTTTATTTAAAATATTTTTATTTAATTTTTTATGTTGAATCTTAAGGCCATAATCTTTCTTGCCATAATTCCCAATTAAAAGTTCCCTTTGGTAATCAACTTTTTCCAGGATATCCAAGCCATCTGGAACAGTGCCTTGATTGGTGGTTAGGTGGCTTGGTGGCGGCTCACGCCCACACGGTTGTCATAGCCACTCGAGCCGCAGCCCAGGACATCACAGAATTACAGCCCTAAGGACATTCAACCGCCTTAACCGGCTCGGCTCGGTTCGGCTCAAGGATCGAATACTCTTTGCTCGAGCCCCCCAATCATCGGCACTCCATCTTGCCATTCCAACATCCTTGGTATCCTTGCCATCATCATCCTGCCTCATCCTGGCGGCTGTTGTAACCATTTGCCACGTGCTTGAGGCACAGGACACGTTCGAGAGATTTCAATTAGTTGCTACGGGGCAACTAATGGTTTTGCTCTCGATTCTTACCCATTTTTTTTTTTTTTTTTTTGGAGGAGCTAAACTTTTATGGGCCGGATATTAACCCATTTACGCCCCCATCAATGTATTATTTCCTCTTCACTTTCCCACGTACGGTTTATTTCTTGGATTCGGTTACATTATGTAGGTTTAACATTAAAATTTTTAGACTTTAAAACTGAGACAGACATGCTCTACAAAGAATTTAGTTCTTGAAGTGTGTGTACAGCCCAGAAAGGGCTTTATATTCCAAGAAATGGTAACATTGTTCCGAATGGGCCTTTGAGTGTCTTCACCAAACGATTCTCCAGGGAGATGCCAAAATTTTGATATCTTTAGATAAGTGCTGATTATTCTCATTAATAAGAAATATAGACTTCACCAACTTACTGTTCTAAAGGTACAATCTTACTTTACAATCACTATCACTATATATCCCGACTTTCCAACTATTTTAGTTTCTAACTTTTTCGCCATTTTGATAAGTTTCTGAAATCTATCCAAGCACTGCAAAGGACTACGATGAAACTTATATAATAGGCCTATATTCATTATTAAGACACATACCTTCGATAATCTTGAATCTTATGCAGATCTTGTGGTTAGAAATCGTTCGAATAAAACTAGACTATCTCTGAAATTAAAGCCTTATAGACTTTGAATTATGTAAATATTTTGTTACTACATACCTTTTTCAACAAAAAACTTCTAAAGTACACTAATATATTCAGGAGGACTAGGTGCCTCTTTGGAGTTCACTGGGAATTCTTCAATTCAAGCCAATATTTTTTGATTATTTTCAGATATTTTTGTTATATTGAATACTTGATCTGCAAATCCAGTAAAAAATTTCTTGTTCTTCGGTTACTGTAGAATGGTGAATGCTGTTATGCTTCTTGAAAATCTTCTTCAGGTAATCTTGATTAATGATATTATCTCTATAGCGTACGCTATTTAAACTATAAACAGAGAGGGTCTACTTGAGTCACTTGAGTTTATTTATTTATTTTTAATGATAAATACCTTCACACGATAGAAGCTAACACTTCTATATATAGTACTCCCCGTGCTTTTTAAATATCAGGTATATTAAGTAATTCCTTGTTAAGACTCGAGATCTAACTTGAATAACAATTTTGAATAAATTGTATATTGATTTATTTTATGAACTTTACCTTTTCTTATTCTTAGCACTATTTATTAGCACTTATTCTTAGAAATTCTTATTCAAGCAATATTCTTTGTAAACTTTTCACAATTCAAAAATTATTTGCTCAAAATATTTTTTAGAACTTAACTTTTGAGAGCTTCACTTGAATGAACGTCGAGAGAATGTCGACTTATATGGGCTTGAATTCAAAATCAAAGCTTACTTTTTAGTAAAAATTGAAGTTCTTAGTTCAAAGTTTGCTTTGTTTTTTGAAATCGATGTGTCTTACGAGCTAAAGATGGTCAAATAATCGCAAGGATTCGATATTAAAAACAATTAAGTGCAAGAACCCTAAATAGAGATGAGTTTCCCAATATAACCGTAAGATACGATACAATATATCGATAAAGCTTAAATATCACCAGAGAAGAGGTTCCTCAATACAATCGATAGGTAAAATAAGTTTGGAAATTGTTAATAAGACAATATACCGATAAAGCTTAAAAGTCACCAGAGAAGAGGTTCCTCAATACAATCGATAGGTATGATAAGTTTGGAAATTGTTATAAAGACAATATATCGATAAAGCTTAAAAACGTCATTATAAAGACCATCCCTAAATTGATTAAAATGCTTATGAATATGGAATGGGGTGGCATGCAGGAGGAAGGAGTGTGTTTCTTACCAAGATCTCTTCCAATTCACTCTTAAATGTTCTGCTGAGGGCCTCGGCATGTGCTTGGGCACTGTTCGCGACATTATTCGCGATCTGATTTTGATTGAGAGCTGATTGGTGGGTCTGATTCTGATTGGATGAGGCGTCGTTGTTAAACTCATAGGCGCAATTGCGATTTAAATTTGAAGTTTTTATAAACTGTGCGATATTCGGGGGTATAGTAAGTAGTAGTAGTAGTAGTAAGCATGGTGTGGAAGAAGAGAAGAATATAGAAAAGTATAGAATAGAGCAGATCGAGTGAGGAGACAGAAGATATATAGTACATATATATGATAAAGAATCTAGGGAAGAAGTACAGGCGCAGAACAGTTGATAGTCTAGTTTCTAGAACAACAAATCATCAAAGTACAAAAAAAAATTGATTAAGGACATAATTGTTTTGAAAATTAATATGGAAATAGATTCGGAATAACAGATATATATATAGGCAGGGTCGAAATATGATGATATCTGTGGCTATAAAATGGAAAATGTCATGAAATGATGAGAGAAATGAAATTCAGAAAATGTAACTCTAATTAGGGGCTAGACGTTTATATTCTAATCTGGAGATGGAGTTGTAATAGTATCTCCTTCTAGGCTAGTTAGGATTTCAACCCAACAGCTAACACCCAATAATTAACTAAACTAATAAAAGCTAATAACTAATTTAGATTAGCACTCACATCGGCTATTTTAACGGCCTGCCCATCCTTTTCCCATTTTGTTGCAATTTGCAATGTCTCCGCAGTTTTCTGTTGTATGCTCTTCGAGTCATCCAATAATGTCAATTCATAGAATTCTTGTATATCTGGAAAGGGAATTGGTAAGTAATTAGTTGAAAATTAGTTAAAAATTATTTGGAAAAATTTTAGTTAAATGAAGGGTGTATTTTATAAAAGAATTTAGATGCTGTCTTAGTAACTTAGTACTAAGGATGTCTTAAGATGAATCTAAGTTTTCTATTTATGATCTTCATATGGTCTATGGTTATACCACTAAAAATATAAGATATTATATTAAAATACTTAAAAATGCTTTAAACTATTATAATTATTCTCTATGTATTCTTATTGTTATTATATACATTATAATTATTATAATAATTTAATGCACCTAACAATTAAATACTCCTTTAAAATATTAACAACTAAATAGAGTACTTATTAGAACATATTAAAGAACATTATATTTTATTAGATTTTATTATACTTTCCAAATAATACCTTATTAATAAATATTCCTTAATATTGAAAGGAAAGCTTTGACACTCTTAACAAATTAATAAGGAACTGTTAAGATCTTTTTTTAAACCTTTTTTCGTTTAAAATTAAATAGTATTTAAATAAATTGAAGAACATCAGCTACTATACTACTATCTATCTATATCCTATATCTAGCTATCTATGAAGTTTTCAATGGTAAACCCGAATAAAGTTCCTTGCATTCATAGTTATGTGAATACTATTTAGTTATTATTCATAAATATTATAATTTCTGTTTCACAAATAAATCCAGAATCCTGTATTGTGTTTTCTTTCTAATATTAAACAAAGTGAACAAGTCCTGGACAATCTAGTACTAGTATCTAGCAATACTTAATTATATATTATAATCATAACAATTATATCTCCAGACTCCTTTACGGTATTTCCTTTTAGATTTCTATAATTTTATATTTTTCCAAGTCTCTAATGATGATGTTAGGCACTCCAAGTCCACAGAGACTGAGATCTGAAATCAAAGAACACCAATTAGCTTTATAATTCCACAAAAAAAAAACTCCATTAAAAACTTACCCGATCAAAACCCGACTCTGGCAGTCATGATTCACTTTCCAGACTTCCGATTGAAGTGTTTATTTGACTTTCTGTTCCACGAGGGTCTCGAAATGTATTTATTTTTTTTCCGGGCCGCTGCTAAATCAGCAAAAAGGAAAAGCTAAGCAAGTAGGGGAGCTGAATGACTTAACCCCTTGATGCCGGCGAAAAAAATGCTTGGGAAAATAAACAGGAGCCGAACGGGGATAGAGAAGTGGCAGTGCGGTTAATAAAGTTGAAAAACATTGAATAACGATAACGAGCCGGAGAAGTGCAGTCGAATGAATAAAACCAACGGATCGGAGACTTGGCCATAAATACACATAAACAAAGCCCGAGCCTTGAAAGGGGAGACTGAAAGAAAGAAATTCTTTAAAAAAATCCACAACTCGAGTCTTTGAAACTCAATCACTGTTTATATCAGACTTTTAATGATAATCGAACTTAAGCCGATAGTTACTGAGTTTCTTTCAGTGTAATTATGAACGAGTGGGGGGGGAAGAAAAAGCAACGGAAATCAGAAACTGTCAGAATGCATCTCAAATGCACACATTTCAATGCAAACTGGCGCCACTGACAGCGCAAGGGGGTTCCGACTAGGAGGGTGGATGGGTACCGGAACCCGGCCCCTCCCCCCCACGCCCCATATACACACACACACACACACTAACACATATGCCACCGCCAATATGTTGCGCTTCAACAGCAGTCAAGTGGCCCAAATGCGGGAACCGAAACTGAAAACTGAAAAAGCTGAAAAAAAAAAGCCTGAAACGAAAAAATAAAATTGAAACGAAATCCATGGCGCCCATTTAATTTCCTGTGCACGACAGCGTCACTTGCCAGCACAATCCCGTTATGTGCAGTGGCGTGCAACAGGGACGGGTAGCATATGCTGCGCGAGAGAGAAGGCCATATTGAATGGAATTCCATGGGGCATTCGATATCCCACCAATATTGTAAGAGGGGGGGCAGAAGTATGAAAATAGTGTGTACACTAGTACAGTAATGATAACTAATGATTGCCAAACTCATTCTAACTCATGCTAAATGTGCTATATGGGCACACTGGCACTAATGTGGCCAAAGGCATATATAAGGCAAGTGGCACGTATGTTTTAGATGCATCAACGATACAAGGACGGTATTGGAAACAAAAATTATATCAAAAACTATTCTAACTAATGCTTTGGTTCTATCTGGGCATGTTAGTGTTAATTAATGTGACCAAATCCATATGGTAAGCAAGAGGAACTTATATTTTATTATTATATATATTAAACTTATTTTCTACAAGGTCACACAGAAAATAATATCCCCAAAAGCATATAATCTATTAAAGATACAGTAACATTAAATCTGAGTTTATAATAAATTACATAAAAACTCATTCGAACTAATGCCTATTCCTCTCTGGGCAGATAAGTTTGTAAATGTCACCAAATGCGTATAGATAGCAAGAGGAAATATACTATAAAATAAAATATAGTTGAGGAGTAATAAAGAAACATGGTTTCACAATGATTTCAATTTATTCTCTATAAGGACACACTGAAAATAATGTGCCCAAAAGCACATATTATGCAAAAACATTCAGGTACAGTTACAGTTAGGCTATTAAAACAGTAATGATGACTAATGACTTCCAAACTCATTCCAACTGGTTCTGTTTAAGGCCACACTGGCCCATTAGTGTGCCCAAAGGCACTAGGTAAGCAAATGAAATGCATATTTACATTAGAGATGATTAATTATCCATGCTTGGGGGCGCCAACTGTATGTGTACATAAACAGTGGCCAGTGCCAGTGCTAGTCCCAGTGCCAGTGCCAGTTATGCAATCGATTTGGCCACTTGAACATAAAATGAGTTATCGAATGCTTCGGAATGCTGGCCGGGATGGCTTCTTTAGTGCTTCCCTGGTGGCACTTCCCTCCAGAGCCAGCCTCCATCTGTTATTGTTCTTTCAATTTCGAGTTGTTGTGCCAACATTTTTGCCTGACTCAGCGGAATGCCGATGTCGATGGGTGCCGCAAAAGAAAAAAAAAAAAAAAAAATAATAATAAAAACGATGCTAAACTTTAGTTCTCGCCATCTCGTTTTATCTCGCTGGGTATGGTCTGGGTTTGGAAAAGTTTCCGGGAAATCGATAAGGCAACCGTAAAAGTATCCACATTATCTGCATACGTACTCTGGCTGGCACACACACACACACACAGATATTATATGCTTTGGTCTCAAGTGTACGTACGTATGTATGTAGGTTTATAGCTTTGGACCAGGTCGCAGATGATTCGAATTCTAGGCCAATTAAATTGGGATTTCGCCCGGCACATGGCTCCACTTCATGACCCTTGGCACACACACACCAGTCCTTATCCTGGCACAAGATTAAATTATTATTTAAACCCATATTCCATTATTTTTTTGTTATCGAAAGACCACAGTGCGTATGAGTAATAAATCATACGCCATGTTGTCAATTACTCATACGCAGGGTTGTCAATCAATTAAAATATTTTTGGATTTTCGTATTTTCGGATGTAAAGTTTTCAATTAATTAACTGGAAAATGAAGAGAATTTCCATGTCCCAGCGTCATGTGTGAGAAATCTCTCAATTCTTGTTCCAAACATCGTTCAATGCAAATGTTTGCAGATTTGACTTTAGGAGGGGGGGAGGAGGTGAGGAGCAATGTGTAACAAGAGAGAGAGAGAGAAAGTCCCAGGGGCAACCTCACACACACACACACACACACAGCTAGGATGCGGCTAATACCTTGTTAATTATTTCACACACGAAGCCAGGAAAGGGTGAACCTTGCCAAGCATTTGGAAATATAATTAAAGGTCATAGGTCTCAGGTGTGAGCCAAATAGGGGTTAACTATTTTGACATAGAAATCGAACTTAATAGACAAAGAAAATTTAATTTAGAAAATATTAACAAATTAAATAAAACTGATAGTTTCTTGTATTTTAAAACTATAATAAAATTTCCCTTTAACTTCATCTCTTTACAAGGTCCACTCTACTGTTGCCTAATGCTAGGTGTCCTGCTTTAATGTAATTCCAGTTAAGTATACCAATTCTCGGCCCATCCAGGTTCACCCCGAATGCTCAGTCGTATAAAAGCTCCTGGTTTCCAACGTGTCACGTGTTTGGCTTGTTTTGCATGTTTGTGCGTGTTTGTGTCTACTTGTGTGTGCCTGTCTATGTGTGTGTGTGTTTGTCAGCCGTTTAACATTTCTGACACGCCAAGCGCAGCCACTGAAACTGTAACGGTAACGGGAGCCGGGAGAACGGGAGAACGAAGAACGAGAATGAGAAGTAGAATTGGAGGAAAAGGCAATGTCGAAGGCAGGCGTACTGAGCGAAGAAAAGCTGAGGAGATAGCCGAGGGGAGCAAGGGCACTAGAAGAACGGAGCGGGCGCTGCGAGGAGTCGCCTAACGAAACGAAACGGATTATGCAACTGCCACTGACAGCGGGCAACACATTTTGTATCCAACCCCCCGGGGGGCAATAGAAAGGGATGCGGCCCTACGGAGCGCCAGCGGCAGGAGGGCGGGCCGGTTGGAAGAACGATAGATAGATAGCTAGAGGGTCGGATGGGAGGGTAGGGGCAGGGAGAACCTAGCAGAACTTTTGCAAATTATACAACAGGCAGGCCCCGCAAAATAGACAACTGCAGACCGCCTCAAAATGGATGGACGGATGGATGGACAAAGCGAGACAGCTAGATGGGGCTGTAGCCCCAAAAAGGGCGAGCGGGAGCGGGAGAGCGAAGGAGATGGACGAAAGGCTGTAAAATCTAGCGGCGAAACTTTTAAATAGTGATGGCACTTGAAAATATCTAAACACATGCGATTAAAAATATTGAAATATTTGTATTTTGGTTATAACAAATTTATTTAAATATTAATAAAATTGTTATTGATTATTATTATATTTTTCGATATTTATACTAAAATGTTATATCTTCTTTAGAATCTTTAACTTTTCACAGAAATTGTAATTTTATTAGGGTTGTTGGTTTTTGAAAAAATATCGTATTGATGATATTTGCTGTGAAAAAAATATCAATCGATAATATTCAGAAATATCACCAAAAAAAATCGATATATCGAGTATTTTCGATATTTTTTATAGTCAGCTAAATTTGAAAAAAGGTTATTTTTAAATTTAAAACAAGAAAGGAAAGCTAACTTCGGGCGGAGCCGAAGTTTATATACCCTTGCAGTTAAAACCGGATATATATCGCAAACATCGGATATAGTTGGCCGATCCTTATCTGAATAAGAATATATAATCCAATTTATTACAATACAAAATCTAAACAAGAAAGGAAAGCTAACTTCGGGCGGAGCCGAAGTTTATATACCCTTGCAGTTAAAACCGGATATATATCGCAAACATCGGATATAGTTGGCCGATCCTTATGGAAATAGGAATATATAATCCAATTTATTACGATACAAAATCTAAAAAAAAGTCCCAAACTTCTATCTTCAAAAATACGAAAGTTGATATTTCTACCAAATACCATTTCCGATCGTTCAGTTATATGGCAGCTATGGGATATAGTCGGCCGATCCTAATGAAATTTGATGGGTTGGATCAACTGACCAAAAATAGAATCTGTATTAAATTCCAGCTTTCTATCTTCAAAAACACGAAAGTTGGGTCATTTCCGATCGTTCAGTTATATGGCAGCTATAGGATATAGTCGGCCGATCCTTATGAAATTTGGCATGACGTTATGTTTTGCCAAAAATAGCTCTCATGTCAAATTTGAACTCTCTAACTCTAAAAACACCAAAGTTATACCATTTCCGATCAATCAGTTATATGGCAGCTATAGGATATAGTCGGCCGATCCGGGCCGTTCCGACTTATATACTGCGTGCAAAGGAAAGAAGGGTGTGTGCAAAGTTTCAAGACGATAGCTTTAAAACTGAGAGACTAGTTCGCGTAGAAACAGACAGACGGACAGACAGACAGACGGACAGACGGACAGACGGACAGACGGACATGCTCATATCAACTCAGGAGGTGATCCTGATCAAGAATATATATACTTTATAGGGTCGGAGATGTCTCCTTCACTGCGTTGCACACTTTTGGACAAAATTATAATACCCTCTGCAAGGGTATAAAAAGGTTTTAATATGTGTTTGCATCCGCTATGAACTGCAAATAAGACATATTTTTTTATTTAAAAAGTGAATTGAAAAAACAACAAATATTTATACCCACTCTCAAGCAACTTTTATTTAAGTTCTTTGAAATAAAAAATAACAAAATTATTAAGGACATTGTATTCAAATTTATTTATAAAAAAAACTTAATACAAAAAAAAAAAGTTTCATGGAATTCATGGAATATGTACTTAATAATTCTAATTACTTAATTCTCTTATTTAGTGCTCTTAATTACTCTTAATTACAAAATAAATCTTTCTTCAATGATTTAAAAAAAACGCTTTCGGTTATATGCTGGTCTGTCATTCGACTACGGGAGTCACAGACAATACATTTAATGGCAGAAGCCAACCGTTCAGATGGAACCGAACTTCCAGGCGTGATAAGAAAACTTAAAGCAACCTTCGCTAGCATCGGCATCGTTGAAATTTGTGAGTTCCAGAATTCCAACGGATTTGTCTCCCAACTACAAAATGGCATACTCAAGTAAACCTGCATTTCCTTTCTTTCGCGACAAATATCGGAGAACACCAACTCAAAAATATTATTATCGACTATTTTTGCCCAAAAAATATCACGATAATAATATTTTTTTAAGAGAAAATATATCGATATATCGATATTTTGATATATTTCCGACATCCCTAAATTTTATTCTTGTAGGCCTCTATTTTTTCTCTCTCTTGTAGAAGCTAACTAGAAAATAGCAACATCTTAGCCAATTTGGCAGCCTTTCTGGTTTTAGCCGCCTGCTGTTTTCCGCTGCTGTTGCTGGCTGGGCTGTTTTGACCCAAATCCTATGCAATATTATCGTTTTGTTGTCGCTGCTACTGCTACTGCTACTGCTATTGCTTTTGTTGTCTGCTTGTCAAGTGGAAATAATTTCCAGCAAAAAGAAACAGACAACAAAAATCGATAGGCGATAGGCGATAGGCAAGAGCCGAACAGATAACACAACTATTTTCAAGGATCTTTCCAGCTCATCAAACATGGTCGAACAATCTTGGGCGAAACTTTTCGAGAAACTTGTTCCAACTTTCTAGGTTAATAAAGTATAAAAGTTGTTAGCTACCAAGCGCTACCAAGTTCTTTGGTCTTGGTTTTTAGGTTGAATAGAAAATTTGAATGGGTATTGGATAAAAGTTAATTTTTATATTTCAAGCCACTATTTCGATAATTCTTTAAACTTGAAAGTTGTTTAAGGCTTATTTTCTGTTCTTTTATCTGAAGAATCTATTGAATCGATTCATTTTAGTATATATTTCTCACTTAGAGAAAGAGAATTACGCTTTTTCTTACTTTAAATATTATATCGAATGCTTTTAATGTACTAATTCAGTACCAATCGATTTTATCGATACATTTTTTATTAGTAATTACTTAACAGAGCCTAATAATTTTCATTAAGATACTAAAGAGAGAGTACAGAATATTAAGCTTAAACTTACTTAAAACTTAATTTTCTTTGCTTTTAGATTACTAATTAGGCACCAATCGATTTTATCGATATGTTTATAGCTACTTATAACTTAACAGAGCCTAACAATTTCTAGTAAGATACTAAAAATAGATGAAGTAATGAAACGTAAACTTACCTAAAACCTTCCTTTTTCCACTTTCTCTAACCAATTAAGCACCAATCGATTTTATCGATATATTTATCTAATCACTTAACAGAGGCTTATAACTTCCAGAAAAACATACCTGTAGCTAAACATAAGCTTAAGCTTACTTAAACCCTTATTTTCTTTACTTTCCTCTAACTAATTAAGCACCAATCGATTTAATCGATAAATATCTAGTTCGATTACTCACCTAACAGCGCTTGAAACAAGCGAGACTTAAATATGCGTATAACGCGTTCGATTGCAATACGCAGCGCCCGATCCTGCGGCTCGGAGAGTCTAGCGTGATAGTCCTCGAGCAGCTCGAGAGCGCGATGAGCTTCTGCAAGTGAAAGAAGATTAAAAGGATAATTAATAAATTATATAAAAACGTTATAGGATAATGATAAGAATTTAAATCCTACAGACTACGGAAGACTATCCCCAGCCTGTAACTCCCCAATACCACTGCATACTTTGTATATCCGCCAATCGTTCGTCTTCGTCCTGGCTGGCTCCCAAAGCGGCCTGACCGAACACCGTGGACCAGAAACCCCTCTCCGAGCCCTGCTCGGACCCACTATCGCCCGCCGACTCCAGCAATTGGGTTCTCTGCTTCGGCTTGGGCTTGGCCTTGACCTTCAGCTGCTGATCCGACTGGGACTTCTCCAGACTCTCCCGCTCCAGGGTCTCGATCATGGCCCGGAAGCGACTCAGCTCCATGCGCAGTCCCTCGGCACTGTTCCGGCTGGAGGAGGAGGCGGAGAGGCCCGAGAGCCCGGAGAGCAGGCGACGGCGAGCCGCACCGCCAGAGGAGGAGGACGATGGACCCTCCCACTCGTCCCGGGAGGCATCGCTCTCGGATTTCTCAAAGTAGCCGGACTCTACGTCGGGAGTTCGGACCATAGAAGTCGAGGAGAGCATATGGCCGTATTCGAGGAGATCCTGGGCGGAGTAGAAGCACTCGATGGACTCGCGGACACTGTCGCGCAACGAGGACGGACATTTCGGAGGCTTTGTTTCGAGTTCTGGTTCAACCACTTCCGTTTCTGGTTCTGCTTCCGGTTCTGGGTCAGGTGGTTGCACCTGCAATTCCAATTCCAACTGAACTTCCTTTTCCTTTGGATTTCCATCAACGGATTCATCGATTTCTATAGGCACTTGGATGGCTTCTTCCGATTGCTGAACGAAAACCAAAGGTGCTGGCTTTTCTTCTTCCTGTCGCGGAAGGGACTGCCTCTTTTGAGGCAAGAGAGACTCCTCTTCCGGTTCCTCCTCGTCATCCGCTGGGGAAGAGTCCTCTTCGTCCTCGTCGTCGTGGAAGGTCTTGTCGTCGCTGCTGAGCAGACCCTCGTTGGGATCGCTGCTCTTCTCCCGATCCGAGTCCGTATCGGAGTCCATGCCAAAGACTGAGACTGAGACTGAGACCTCTCTACAGGTCCACGAACCGCGCTGAACTGGCCCCAAGACCCTTATAGGGGGTCTCTTGTGCAACGCCAGTCTTTGTTCTTCCAACGCCGATAAATCAATAAAGATTGACGCCTTTTTTAAATATTATTATTCTATAGGGTAGGTCTATAGGGTAGCTATAGGTGGCAGTTCTCTTTAAAAGCTGGTTCCTTAAGATGACTTTGGATTATTGTTATTAGAATTTAATTCTAATCGCTCGACAGGTCAGAGGTCAGACCCCATCCTGGTGGCTGATTGTCATGCGGACGGCGCTTGCCAAAAAATTAAACACATAATTTATTATTATAATCGAGTCACATTATGTCGATGTGTGTCTGTGGCTCGATGTCGCCAAAATTGACCTTCACTGTCCATTTGCAGAGCTGCTGGCAGCCCATACCGTTTTCTGTCTTTTACAGCTTTTATGTATCTGCCCCTTCCTCACCCGGCACATGCCACACGGCTCACGGCTCATGGCTCATGACTCGCTTTCCCATTTCATTTCATTTATTTTTTTGGCTCGTTTCAGTTGCCCAAATATGATTCGTGTGTGACATAATCAAATCAGATGTTTCCTTAGCATTAATTTACATATTTTTGCGGTTAAAAGGCAGAACCCACAACCCACAGGCCTGCTCTTCAGTATGTATCTTTTTGCTAAAAACTATCTATTTTTTTATTAAAACTATTCAAGATTAAACCCATCCAAGTCATGTCCCTCAAACTCACGAGTTTAAAGTTTAAATGTAGTCGCAAAAAGGTAGTAGCTGGCAGCTAAAATTAGTTTAGAATTAATCCAATTTAATCCTTTGCCATGGAGGGTCGGCTTCCATCGGTTTTCACTGTACTGCCATTCATGGGGGCAAATTGAATTGGATTTCCAGCTAATGGCCAGCCACCGGAGAGTGCAAAATAAACATAGGTTTGGAAATATCAGCTCCTGAGCACGGCGAAGTGGTAATGCACTTTGGGTGACGATGTTTTGAGGTTATGAGACTTTTCAAAACGGAACTAGTTCTTTAAATGGACGCTGGAGAAAGATTCAAAGATGGACGACCCTCCCGTTATGCTGAACATGATATGTTTTATATTATGTGCAACATTGATAGCCTACTATCCCCCACCTCTTGTCCCCACCATTATCCCTATATATGTAACTTTCGAGTTCTTTCGTGGATTATAGCTACATCTTCCTATATAAATACAAATATTGTAACTATTGTAGTTGCTTATACTTATATTATAAGTGAAAGCTGATTATTAAATAAATAAATTTAATAAATACATTTTAATAAAATATATAAGATGATATTTCGATAGATATTTTTGGAAGATAATATAGAGGATAATTGTATATATAGACGATTCTTTATGTTTTAAAAACTGGGGGAAAGTTTTTTTTGTAAAGTTTTAGTTTCAAAATGGTATAATTCCATAGCTTTTATTTAAATGGAAGTATTAGCTTCAGAGTAAACAAGACTTACTTAACAAGACTCTTATACTAAGTAGTAGCTTTTATACCAAAGAGTCTATTCATTTAGACGATAGATTAAGATTCAAAAAAATTATGCTCTTTAATAAAACTCTTAAGCTTCGAATTTGAGGGATAAGATTGAAGAAAAACAAACGGGCAGACCAATGTTATATGACATATGTAGAGTCTGTAATGAAGAGAATAGAAGAGGATAGGCGGACAGACGGACAAGGATTCTTCTTAAGAATGCGCCTATACCCTTTCTGAGGGGAAATAAAATAAAAGGGAAATAAAAAGATAGGAAAAAGGGTACAAGCCTTTTCAAAGCCCTTTTAGTAAAAGCTTTCCAAATAAAAGACTATCAAACAGAGAGACGGCTATGGTTACTATAATTCTATAGGTTTATAGGGTTACTCCGATCAGGACACTCTTCCAGGGAGTATGAAAAAAAGGATTTGGTAAACAGTGTTAGCCACATAGCTTTTGAAACAAGGAACAAGGGTGAAGAGAATAAACTGAATGAAACTGGAGGTTACTCCGATCAGGAAACTCTCCCAGGGATACTATGTCGAGAACTATAAGCCCCAAAGACTTTAAAACAAGAGACAAGGAACATGTGACCACCGTATCTGATGAAGATCAAGAAGGTGTTCCAGGGAGCACGGCAAACAAAGGATATCAGATAGGCAAGGATTAAGGCCCTCTGGCTTCCAAGCCCCGGACCAACTTAGTCCCCGGAACAAAGCAACAAATGCCCTCCGCAGGTGATGCTAATCACATGTGTATCCTGGAAAAAGTCCCATAAGCCCCTCCTGTAGGGGTATTACAACAAAAAAAAGGAGAACCTCGAGAGGTAAAGGGAATAAAAAATGTGGTTCTCGCTCACCTTGCTTCTTCACTGGCATCCTGTGGGTGGTGGTGCTGCTGCTGATGTTGAAGTCAAAGGGGGTGGTGCTGTGGCTGCTGCTGCTGCTGCTGGCGGCTGCGGCTGCGGCGGTGGTGCAGCTTTGAGAGTGGTTCAAAGCCGTCGAACTGGGCAGAGCTTGGGTAGCAATTTTGAGTATTTTTCTGGTATCGTTTTCGAATGAAAATATATATATATGTGTGGGTCCTTAGTGGAGAGGTGTGAGTGTGTGTTTGTCTTTGGCTTTGTTTTTTTTTTATTAATTTATTTTTTTAAATTTATATATTTTTTTTTAACTAAGTTAAGTTTATTTTAGTTCTGCAGGCACATATACACATGTATGGATGTTTCAATACAATATATAAGATATATATTTATTTATTTAAGTATATAGATGTTTTAGTTTCAATATATGTACAAATACGTTTGTTTTGGCTTGGAGATTCTTTGATTTTTTTTTTTTAATTTTTGCGCTTAAAGTTTCTTGTTTTTTTTATTGAAATTTTTAATTTTATTATTTTGGGGCAGTTTTGGTTACATTTACGTGTGCGTTACGTTACTTTGCGTTACGTTACGTTACGTTTCGGCTTGGGTTTAATAATTTCTTTAATTTATTTATTTATTTTCGTTATTTTTTTTTTGGGAATTTCACATTTTTGTGGGTGGCACAGTGGACTGCACTGGAAATTGGCGATATTTTTAATATATCCTCTATATACACAGTATCAGTATCCCTTTACTTGTCTTTAATACACACACATACACACACACACACACTGGCACAACACAACAACAAAAAACGAAAACCGTTACGTGTGGAACTCCGATCGGATCCTTTCGTTATCCTTGGCTTGCATTTGATTGAATTTCATTTAATTCCATTCACCATCTAAAATGTAAGAAAATACAAATATTTTGTTGTATAATCAGAAAATATTAAAAAAAAAACAACAACAACAAAAAATATAGAAAAATAATGCACAAGAGGCGCGCAAATTTTGTAATATGCTTCCGATAGTACAGTGATCACTGGGCTAAGGTGGGGGGGTCTTTTTTTAAGTTTTAATATTTTTTAAAAAATTATTTTTCTTTTTCCACGAGAGTTCACTGTATTTGTTCACTGCCACTCATATTCAAAAACTGAAAAAAATAAATCGAAATCGAATCACATCGCCGCGATGTTGAAATTTTTGCTTGTCTCGTCTCGAGGCCCGAAAAAAATTGTTTGTTTCGCTTCACGATCGGCCTGCCTGGCTATTGTCGGCCCGACCATTTTATTTACATATAGTTTTTGTCTTTTTCTTTTTTTTTTATGTTTTTTCTTTTTTTTTTTTGCTATTTCAGCGAATTGTTCTAGTTAGCTCTCTCACATGAATAAAATGAAAATATGACATGTATCTAGATAGAAATGTATATTTTTGGTTTTGTAACTTGTTACATGCCCAGGTGCAATCGGATGCGAGATTCCCGGAGTCTCGGAGTCGCATAAAAAGCCCGTAGAACGAAAACACCCGCACCGCACACAGACACACGTCCAACTGAGCCACTACTATAACGGTGCCTCTGCCTCTGCCTGTGCCGTTGGCCCTCAATATGTCTGCCTGTCTCGCTCTCGTTTGCTTTGCTGGCCATCTCCGCTGCTGTGCTCCTCTCTGCTCCCGACCGATTCCCGAGCGATTCTCAGTCTTCGTTTGCCTGTCCAACAATTAGTATTTGCATATATACTATATATCACCCCTACATACATATATACCACCTCCCCTATGTACATATATATCTGGCCTGTGTGTTTTTTTTTTCTCCTTTTTTTTTTTTCAAAAGTTGCCAACTCGAGATAATCAAAAATAACAGACCAGCTCGGCTAATATTTGCCTTAATAAAAAAAGAATATAGTGTGTTGGGCACAATTTTTGGCAAATCTGCCTTTATATTATATACTTCCAGCAGATTTGTTTGTGCAACAAATAAACAAACAGGTCCCCCAATCAAGAAACTGTTAGGGCAGGCCCGACAAATCAAACAATATGGAATTATAGATTTTTCTTATCAAGGTATCAGGGGGGAAGACCCAAGTAATTCAGGAACTATGCGTGTTTTTGGGGATTTCTAAAAATCTTTAGGATTTAGTCATATGCTCTGTCAAAAACACTACGTACTAAGCCCTTTTTTTTACAAATACTTATCTATAATCTGTATTAAGGGGAGGGTAAGGTATTAAATTTTTTTTTTTTCCATTTTTTTTTTATTTTTTAAATTGAATGCATAATATCTGAAGAATATTGTGTCAAAATTTCAAGTCAATTAAAGCAAAATTGACGAAGTTATTAGTTATTGACGAAGTTGCTTGCAAACGTTTTACACTGGATTTTGTTTTGTTTAAAACTTTAAAGCGTTATTCCCACAACTCACGTTTTCAAAGTCGGTGCCCCTCATAACTTCAAAACTACTTCACCGATCCTTTTGAAATTTTAAACACTATTTCTGTACATATTTTACGAGGTAACGCTGTCAAGTTTTTTTTTTTTTGTTCATAGTTTTGATTTCGCAATGACAAATAAACCGATTTTTTCCCAAAAAATTGAGTTTTTCACTTCAAAGTCTTCGAAAAAATTAAAAAATTGCAATTTTCAAAAAACCTTTACAGCGTTACCTGGGGCGAACTATTATCTAACGAATGAATTTTCATTTTTTGATTACAAATGATCCAGCACCGAGTTATGAGGGGCACCGCAATTCAACTTTTTTTGGCGACACGTCCGGACAACTGCTACCATTGCCATATTTTTAAATATTTTTTTGTAAAAATTTTATTAAACATTCTTCTAATGTCATACTTTAATATACCGTTGGTTGAATAAATAAATTTTAACTGTGTCGTCAGGAAAAAAATCACAAAAATATGGCTTTTTTCGCATGATTTGACCTTACCCTCCCCTTAAAGATATTTCTATCAAAATTTAAAGATATTATAGATACATATAGAGTTTCAGCATTTAGCGATACGGTCTATCAAAAACTATACATACTACGTCTTTTTTAAAATTTTAATATTTCATCTATATTATAGATATGTATTTCCATCAGATGTGAAGATATTAAGGTATATCATCATAATATACTATCATCAAGAGGTCCCTTTTTTTACAAATATCTACATCTAATCTATAATCTATACAAGATATTAACACACTTTAGGTATATCGCCAAGATATTAGGAGAAAGACCCTTAGTACCTTAGAGAAAATTAAGTATTTTTAAAGATTTTTAGGGTTCTCTGATATGGTCTATCAAAAAACTAAGCTATACTATCAAGATATGAAGGGAAAGGACTCAAGGAGCTCAGAAACTATGCGTAGTTTTACGATTTTTTAAGATTCAGTACTATGTTTAATTAAAAATCTTTAATATATGTTCCTTGTTTTACACACATCTAATCTATTTTTTATCAAAATATTAGGATATTATATGTATACCATCAAGATATTGAGGGAGACCTCCCACGAAATCAAAAATAAATGGGTATTTGTAATATTAATAATATAATATTATCAAAAAGCAACAAAAAATCCGAAAAGTAAATCCGAAGGATCTCCTGGACAAATGCGTAATTTTTAGGATTAAGGTATATGATCTATTAAAGTGTCTAAGTAATGTATTACAAAATGGTGTTACTTCAGCTGAAAGGATATTCACATTTTTGCCAAAATGATTAAAGGTTGTAACTCTTTTACAAAAAACTAATACATACTTCCATAGATATGTTTATTAAAAAGATACTGTTCAAATTTCAACAGGATCGGCCAACATAAGCTCGATTTTTCGAGAAAAAGAAGTCTTAAGATACTAAAGACATGGTACCTAATGTCCCTAACTCTACAAAATACTAATCGAATCTGAATAAAAACTATTATTAAATTTGTCAGGGTATCTCACGAATAATTCTCTGATTTTTCAAAAGCGGTTTCTTAGGACCCCCCCTAATCAGAAACTAATTTAAGCTTTCAAATCAAACCCCAGACACACACACACACACACGCACGAGGACAACGGCACTTTGATTAATGTTGTGGACGTCAGTGACGTGAATTACTTAAAACAATCGAAGAACTAGACAGAAGCAGAGACGGAAACAGGAGGCAGAAACCGTAAGCGAGTGAAGGAAAAGCTCTCTAGCTAGAGCAAGAGAGAAAGAGAAGAAAGTGGGCAAAGGAAAGGCAACGACTGGAAACTAGGAAACGCGCATCAAGCAAGACAGCAAAAACAACTGAAATAATAATAATAACAACAACAATGACAAGAACATGGCCGCTAACGGTAACGACGATGGCAGGGTTCAATCACCTTTGGGAATTACGTACCGGTTATTACGGTTATTATTATTATTATCCTACCTAACCTCCCCCACCTTACAAGTTTGAAACCCGTTGGTCATAAATATACCGTTGCGGTCAAAAAAAAAAAAAGAATTAAATACAAATATACATATATAACTATAATATATGTATGTATGTATGGAATACCTATACGTTTAATTTATGTGCGTCATTTGTTTCCTATTTTTAATGTCTTTTGGGCCGTTTGAAGTACATTTTTCTTTTATTCTCCTCCTCGAGCGAGCACACACGTCGTATAATTGATATGCACACACACACATGTATATGCGTGCATGAACATGTCTGTGCGCAATTGTATTGCCTATTTTTATGGTGCCAGAGTCCTTTAGCATGTATGCCACACGTACATATGTATGAGTGTGTATTTTTGGGCTGCCACTGCCACAGTAATCGCTTTCAGAAGCCGACCGGGGCAGTTAACTTTGCAACTTTTAAATAAGTAATGGCTTAGTTTACATTTTATTTGACGATCACTGTATGTGAGCTAACGGTACACATACACCAGTGCAACTGCTGCAGGCGCGAACGCAGAAAAGTATGCACCAAAAAAAAAGGAAAAAGAAATATGTGCAATAAGCACTCAATTCCACCAACACACACACACACACACAGAGCCCTCTCCAGGAGTGAGGGAGATACACGCACACCCACGCACCGTGCAGCGAGATATTAACCGTTACGGATTGACGTTCGCCTGGCGGACTTCTGACCTTGACATGTCGCCTGTGGTTGTGCTTGTTGTTGTATGGTGTATTGCCGTGTATTTCGGGCAGGAGAGGAGTATGTTAAATACGGAATAATACCGGGGTGTACCGGGGTGTTCGAGGTGTACGGTAAACTGGGTCGGCGATTAATTATTCAGCCGCAGCATAATTATTGTCGGGGTCTCTTTTTTTTTTTGTAATTTTTTTTTTTTTTTTTTTTTTTGGTAAAGTTTACGTGTTATTTATAGACCATCCGCGCCAACTACAACAACAACAACAACAAGAAAAGATACTACAATAAAATAATACACACACTCAAGTAATCATGTATGCACACGCCGAGGATGAGAAAAAGTGAGAGACAGAGAGCGCGCTACTTGGGACGAGAGAGATAGAGAGCGGAAAGAATTGTAAACTTATTAATACACACAAACACACACCCACGTGTATGTGTGTGTGTGATGCTGAATTATGTATATGTATTTTGCATAATAAAATTGCATTTTTCAAGAAAAATCTGGCAAAAGTTACCGTATCATTTGTATTTCATAAAAACAACAACAACAAGGAACAACATCCCTTACAACTACAACAATATTTGGTGCACACACATACAACCACCGCAGGCACCCACACTTACACACACATTACCACCATAGGTGTATTACACAGTCAAAGGATGTGAGAAAAAAAAAAAGGAGCACATCACAATAAAAAAAAAGTTTAACTGTTTAATATTTTTTTTTTCATTCCGGGAGTGAGAGCAAGTCGTTGCCTGATTTTTTTCGAATCTTATTGGGAAAACTAGAGCAACACTGCATTTTTGCTCGTTTTTCTCGCCTGTTTTTTTGCTTTTTCGTTACACCGACCCGACCGATTCATATACATATATCTATTTAGCACATATATATATTTTACGTTTGCAACTATCCACACTCACACTCACAGGCAAAAGGACATGCGTTTGGCACAGCCTTCGGGCATTTTATGTTTAAAATAAGTTAGTTGCACGTTGGATATATTACGATTTTCTTAAAGGCAACACTACCGCAGTGTTTAGCAGTGTTGGCAGAAAAATTACAGTGAAGCAGAGCAGAAGCAGTGCTGGAAAGCGCGCCGCAGGTATAATAACGTAGTTTTTTAGTATTTTGCAATACTTGGAGTTGGTTGGAATTAGCCCGGAAAATATTCAAAATTTTAAAACTTAAAACAAGATTGGTATTTAAATAAATTAAAGATTACAACTAAATCCTTTTTATAAAAACTTGTTAAATTTTAGATAAAATATTAGTCTTTTTAAATTTAAAGTTTGATACAAGAAAATAGAATATTATTTATTGCAATATCCTTAAAGACCACCCAGCCCATTGCAACGGTGTGGCAACACTGGCCCATGTCCTTGAATGGTGCCGCGTTTCTTATAAGAACTTTATTCCTTATTTTATCCCTCAAACCAAAACAATAACACAAATCATTCAGTTTTTTTACTTGCAATAACAAGATTGCAATTATTCCAAGAAAAGGAACAGAGAAGGAAAGTGTCCTTTATTATCCTTGTAATAAATACATCCGTGTACAGATACAAGTCAAAGCCACTGGATTGTTTAACATACAAAACGCAAGAAGTCTTTATTTGGTTTCGCAAGCGTCAGGCCGGCCAAACATATGCAAAATTGTACAGGATTTGCATCTGTTGGTCCGGCTGGCGTTAAAGGGTATCAGGTTTCAGTTGTTCTTGGAGCCGTAGACACGTTCAGTACACGCAGGCCCCTCCGGAGACGAAGAAGACAGACACCCGGATGGAGGTCTGTTGCACAATTGATGCCGGGCTTGCCGGCTGTTCGCCGACAGGAGACACACTTGCGAGTTGCTGGCATATGGGTTTTTAGGGAGCTGCGACTGGGAGACACCCGCAACAGAAAAAAAATGCTTACATGATAATTTGTGTTTTAAAATTAGCTTTAACAGTAGGACAGTGGAACGGAGCGACTCTCCCGGCTCTCCCGGGCGGAGTTTCGGGTTGCGAGTTCGCATCCGATTTTACAAGTCCCCGGAGCCGCCACGCTTCTGTAGCATTTGGGCGAACCGCTGCGTGATGAGCAGTGAGGTGTCGATGAAGCGATCCACGCAGTTGCTGAGGCAAGTCTCGGTGGCATGGTCCAGCTTGGTGCTCGGCTTGCCGATGCACTTCTCCCAGCAAATCTCATTGAACTCGTGTATCTGTTGTTATATCCAAAGAGGGCATTATAGTACGGCGGCATTAGGTATTGGGTATTCCGGGGACACTTACCTGTGCATTGACCTGCGCCTTTTGTTTTTCGATCATCAGAAAGTCCTGCAGCTCCTTGTCGTTACCGGACAGATTCTCAAAGTCTGACATATTGGCGGCGAGCGTGTGCTTTTCAGTGAACAATTGACTAAATACAGAGTCTCGGGTCCGAAACTTGAATTTTTGTATTTGATTGATTTGGTTTTAAGGTTATATAAAGACGGGAGGCAGTGACAGATGTGAGCCGGACGATAGGGCTGCCAAGTTTGTGAAAGCCAGGCTACCAGATTGTTGCTTAGTTGAGGGTAAACTATCGTATAGTTTTTATTGGTTAATATTTATATTTTGTAATTAAATAATTAATGTAAAAATAATCTAAAAAAAAACATACAAATATAAACTTTAGTTTATAGATTTATTTAATCAAGTTTTCTTTCAAAAATACTTATATATTATTTAATAGTTATTTCTTAAAATGAATAATTTAAAAGGTTAATGGTTAGTAATTGCTTTACAATGATTTTTAGGCAATAATTCCAGATAAGAGGTATTTAAAAAGTAATTTAAATTTTTAAAATTTTAGTAATCCACAGGGTGACTTGTGCAGAACCATACTATCGATTGGTGATATGCAACTATCGATGTGTGCATCGATATTTAATGAATTTCGCAACTGCAAACCACGAAGAATCAACAAACTCCGTTTGGATCGTTTTGATTTCGCTCCTGGTCTTTGCTAAGTGCGTGTGCGTGCGTTAGACTCTCGCCGAAATCCCCGACAAGCTGGAGAAGTGGAAGAGAACACGAAGCTCCACCAAAAAAATGGATGAGCGGGGTGGCGGGGGCGGTAGCGGTGGCGGTGGCGGTGGCGGCAGCGGTGGAAACGGATCAACAAACACAACGAGCAACAACAAATCAGCTGCTGGGGCTGGTGCTGGTGCAGCTGGTGCTGGTTCTTTGGCGACAGCGCCCTCTGATAAGCCAACGATACTGGAAGGTAAATATTGAGCCATCAGAAGACATCATCAGCAGGAGATATCATCTTTTCGGCTCCCAAAAGAAAAAAAAACCCCCTTCATGCACAAAACAGCCACTCACCCACACTCATGCACACACGCTCTCGCCGCACATTAATAATACGAATATGTGTAATGGGCGTCTCCGGCCCTCCTACGCCGCCGCCTGTTACAAAGCTCAGTCTTTGTCCTAGCTCTAAAAATACAACTACGCATTAGCTTTGGCGCCAGGACCTCCAAACACTCACACACACACACACACTTGCTTTTGAAGTCCTAGCTATTTTTAGGGGTGGAGTAAAAGGGAGAGCAACAACTCCTATATTTTGCTATCTGTTTGGCAACACTCGCGGTGCGATTAGTATGTCAACCACAATGGTTCTCGAAGACTTTAAGCTAAGGTCCTCTTACTTCGTTAATCAGGTTTACTTTGGTATGTCTGCCCTGCCTAAATAATGCTCAAGTATTTTTTATTTTAGTTCTATTTGATTGGCCGCAGGTGTGCGCTGGGGGACCTGTTGAATCGAATTCATGGCCCCCACCCTCTGCACGGTTCCACCCTCGCTGGTGAAACAAAAGGCACCCAAATGAAACCCTAAAAAAGCATCTCTTGCAACCTTTGGAGCCAGCCACAATAACGAAATTGTTGTTTCTGTTCATCGGATGACAAATCAATAGCTAGAGCTGCGTAAAAAAAACAATCTCGACCCGACTAGACGACATCATTTCGCAATTACACCCACAAATTGCAGTGATCCGAGTCCCAGATCTGGTTTCCCGTCCCAGAATACGTTTGTCCAACAGATCAGGTTGGAACCAAAGCTATTGGATACCGTCTGGGCAAAGGCTCCAGTCTGGAAGAGACTGGATGACGTGTCTGCTTTTATCAAAATACCCCTTTGCTTTTTGTTTATTTCGATTCAATGGCGCCTGTAAAGAAATTCTTTTGTTTATAATTTCGTATTGGAATTTCATCGCCCGTCGATTAAAGTCCATTAGAATAGACGATGGCTTTGCTAAATGGATTTCTTTAAAAGGAGGATAGCATAATTTTTGTATGCTATTAATAGAGATACATTTACATATGTATGCTATTATATGCTAAGAATAACCGATATTTTTGTTCTCACGCTTGGTCTTGACTTTGATCTTCTTAGTTACAGACTTTAGAAGAAAAGAACTACTCTTTGTTTCTGAAAACATTGAAGAAAACATGCCCTAGTTGTAAATTAAAACTTGTAATTGATTCACAGACAGTTCTGGTCACACTGTTTTGCCAGTGTGGACTTGCCATCCCTGGAAAAGAGGAATTTTATGATTTAATTCTTGAAATCTCTTCAGAAGTGCTCCACACCATCTTCGATGGCCAAGGAGGAGTCAAATAGGAGCCACAACTAAACGGATTTCTTTACAATACAATAAGAATGAGACATATTTTTGTTTTTGAGCTTACTCTTGACTTTGCTCTACTTAGCTCTACACTTTTTATAAGTAAAGAGCTGCTCTTTAGAAGAAGAATAGCATAGAATAGGAGATCTTTTTGTTCTCAGGATGGATCTTGACATTGAACTACTTAGACTCTACTCCCACTTTTAATCAAGGGATGTCTGTGTTCTGCAGTTTTAATCCATGAATGGGGACTTGAGTATCTTTCGGTTGACATGTTGAAAGTTTCCTAACTTTTCACTGGAGTTGAAGATTAGGTCTAACTACAATACGTTTAAGACAGCATATCTAGACTTTTCGATTACAAGTTTAACATAAAGACTAGGGAGTAGGGACAAAGCACCATCTTTTGGGTAAATGCCTCTCCTTCGGGTAGGACTTCACGGTCTATTACACGCTATCATCGTGGTTCCCGCTGTTCCCTTTCATCCCGCTGCTGTTGCATCCTCTTGTGGTTATCACTGGTCACCTTCTTCAGAGCATCAGCCTCGCCGCCCGTGGACTCGACCATCTGACGGAGGTGACCAGCGTCTGCTGGGTGATCTACTGACTCTTGACTTCGATCTACTTAAGAAAATTACTACTGTTTGATTAGTTTTATTGATTCACAGACAGTCTTGGTCACACTGTTTTGCCAGTGTGGACTTGCCCCCTCTTTAAAAAACAGAAATAATATATTTTAATTCTTTAAATCACTTCAGGAGTGCTCCACAACATCTTCGATGGCTTCACCGACAAAGAGGAGCAAGTGCGCTCCGCCATGCAGCAGGCCATCGTCAAGATCCTGGAGACACATCCCGAACGAGCAGCCGACATCCTGAGCGAGTACCGCTCCCAACAGCCCAAGATGAGCGACCACACAGTGGCCATGATGCTGGAGTAAGTTCTCTAGGGGATTGGGGGAAGAACGAAACTGATTCCTGTATGTTTCAGTTGCATCCGGCATGTGGTGGGAACGGAGCAGCCCCTGCCGGCGGCTGCCAATGAAAAACTGATCAGCCTGGCACTCCAAGAGCTCATCAGGAGCCCCGAGCATGTGCCGCTCATACAGAATCCCGCGCAGCGCATACTGGTGGCCATCGGGCGGACCAGCGCCGACGGCTGCGCCCAGGTGATGGAGGCGCTCCAGGCCAAGGGCAGCCACACCGAGGGGGTAAGCCACTTCATGTTGATGCAGTGCCTCGGACTGCTGGCCACCGAGAACCCGGCGGGAGTGGTGCCCCACATCAAGGCCATACTGGGCAGGTGCCAGCCGCACCTGGGCGGAATCCGGCAGGATCACATCAAGCAGGCCCACGCCTACGCCATCGGGCGCTTCAGCGAGGCGCTGCTGGAGGAGGGGGAGCACGGCGAGAAGGAGAACTGCTCCACGGAGATCAGTGTGGCGTACGACGTGCTCTTCAACCAGTGGCTGCACTCCCGCGAGCCGAAGGTGTGCGTGGAGATCCTCCAGGCGCTCTCCAGCATGTACCCCCTGCTGCCGAAGGACCGGATTCAGGACCAGGCGGCGCGGCTGGTGCCCCAGATCTTCGCCCTGTACCGGCGCAGCGTGGACCGGAACGCGGTGACCCAGTTCCTGTGCTCCGTGCTGAAGACGAATCTCGCCATCAATGCCCAGGTGCTGGACGCCATCCTGGACTCGCTGATCTCGCACCTCTTCGACCTGGTCTGCGTCTATCCGGACTACGAGAAGCCGCAGACCGTGAAGGGGCACTACGAGGTGCTGCGGTGCTTCCACCTCCTGGCCAGCCACCAGGCCTACTCCGCCCGGATCATGGAGACCCTGCTGATCCACCTGCGCAACAACAGCGAACGGGAGCGGATGAAGTCGCTGCTGATACTGACGCACCTGCTCAACTCCTGTGCCGGCAACATCGAGAGCCGGATCCCGGCCAGCATCGAGTGCCTCAAGCAGCTGATCCTCTCCGAGAAGGGCATCAAGATGAAGCTCACCCTGCTGAAGACGATCGTGGCCCTGGCCCAGAAGTCGCACATCCGGGACAAGGAGTTCGTCTGGTTCGTGGTGCGCCACAGCTGCAAGTACTCCAAGTCGAACCAGGAGCACGGCAGCCACGAGGAGCACGCCAACCTGGCCCTCAGCTGCGAGAACACCCTCTACATGCTGGCCTCCACGGTGGGCACGCTGGACGAGCTGCTGAAGCGGGAGCTGCTCAACTACTTCATCCTGCTGGACTACACCGACATCTGCGGCAACCTGGCCAAGTGCCTGGCCAGCCTCTTCGCCAAGTCGCCCCACATCGAGTACGACACAGCCGGCGATGAGGCGGCAGCCCACGCGGACGCTCCGGCAGGCGATGGGGCGGCCGGCGAGGATCGGGGTGTGGTGAAGCGGGGCAAGGTGATGGTGCCGGGGGCGGAGACCATTTACGCCCGGTGCCTGGCTCTGTTGGGCAACCAGCAGTGCATCAAACGCTGCTCGAACATCCTCAGCTTCCTGCGCTACTACCATCCCCAGGTGAACCCCGCCCTGGAGGAGCTCTGGGAGCGTCGTATCCCGGACCTGCAGCTGCAGATCAACCGGGAGAGCGCGTACCGCCAGCAGCTGCACGACTTCGTCCTGGAGACCAACGAGTTCCTCGGCGGACTGGACGAGAACTTTGCCCAGCGCATGGCCAGCAAGCTGGCCGACCAGATGTACTTGTACCCCATCAGCCTGCCCCACTCCGAGTGGCAGCTGCCGGACCTGAGCGCCGAGCGGGGCATGCTCCTCCAGGCGGTGGCCCTCACCCTGCTCCAGGTGACCGACGTGGCCTGCATCCACACCAAGATCGATCTCATTGTGACGAGCGCCCGGCAGGAGCGGCTGGACAAGCACGTGAAGCACGCGGACTACGAGCGCAAGATCGAGTCCTCGGCCCGGGCTCTGGGCTACATCTCGCGCCAGCACCTGGGGCATCTCGTCAAGAAACTGACGGAGCTGGCCCAGGTGGGGGGGCGCAAGCACTCGACCGGCTTCTTCAGCAACCTGCACTTCATCAAGGACACGCACAAGGAGCTGGAGAACTACAAGAGCAACCTGCTGGTGGTGAAGGCCTTCGGCCACATCATGGACGAGGCCGATCCGCTGCAGTCGCTGCAGCACCTCGACGAGGACGACACCCTGCTGGGCTTCCTCATGCAGCAGCTGGCCATGCACAAGGACCAGACCCTCATGTCGGCCATCCTGCAGACGCTGCTGAGCATCTGCAACCAGCTGATAGCCACCAAGGAGCAGCTGCCGTCCCCGCTGCGCCACCGCAAGCAGATCATGGAGACGGTCTTCAGCATACCCATCGAGGCGCCCTTCAACGACCTGCCCCTCCTGCCCACCATCCTCAAGCTGGGCACGGACTTCATACGGATAGGTAAGCAGCCCTGGGCGGGGGATCCATAGTTTCTGGGATTTGATTAACTCTTCCGGGGATTCGCAGGGGGTCCGGACACCGCCGAGTGCGTGGATGGCGGCGTCATCTTCGAGATCGCGTGCCGCAACTTCTTCGGCTGCGCCCAGCAGCTCAAGATGAAGTTCGACTCCCAGGAGGAGGACGAGCGCAACAGCTTCCTGGCCAAGCACCTGAACGAGTCGCTGCCGCAGCTGAACGCCCTGGTGCGCGCCATCGTGGAGCTGGACGCCTCGCCGGCCACCCTCGACCTGATCATCGGCATCCTGGAGGGGTGGACGCGCGACCGCAACTCCGAGGTGCGCATCTGCGCCAGCCACGTCTTCAACAACACCCTGGAGGTGTACATCAAGGCGATGCGGATCGGGTGCGAGGCGCCCTCCAAGTTCAACCAGACCGGCCAGATGCTGGGCAAGATCGTGCCCCGGTGCATCGACTCGAACGGGACGGTGCGCCAGGTGTCGGTGGAGATCCTGCAGAAGACCCTGGAGATAGCCTGCATCTACGAGACCCTGACGATAGCCAGCATCGACAGCAACGCCGACTGGCTGAAGGAGATCGAGGCCATCAAGGAGCACATCATCACGGACGAACCCAAGCAGATCTACAACCTGGCCGGGGACATAGCCAAGATAATAGCCCTCAGGATCTCCAGCTTCCAGTACCTCCAGTTCTGGTAAAAACCACATCCTCTTCCTTTCGGGACTTTCCTTTAAAGGCTTTCGGTTTCGCAGCAAGACCCTCCTGTACTCACTGAGGGATCCGGAGCAGAGCTCCACCATCGGAGCCAGTGTCGTGCTGAAGTTCTTCATCCAGCAAAAGGGCTCCGAGCTCTTCCACGCCATTCCCGACCTGGTGCGCGACAGCCTGGTGGCTCTGCAGCTCTGCGAGGTGCCGCGGGCCAAGTCGGGCGTCCTCAAGGCGCTGGTGGCCCTCACCAAGCACCACCCCAAGCTGGTGTGTGCCGAGATGCTGGCCCAGCCGCTGCCCTTCGACCCCAGCCTGGTGGAGTACTGGCATCTGGTGTGCAGCGACCCGGAGCTGACGGGTCTCATGCTGGACAACTTCCTGCAGCTGCTCAGTGGCGCTGCCCTCCAGGAGGGCGGTGGCTCGGAGACGCCCTCGTCCCAGGAGCGCCAGAAGATAGCCAGCGCCCAGCCCTTTGCCATTTTCTGTGCCCTCCACGAGATGCTGCCGTGCAAGGACATCAAGGAGGTACCATTGGACTAACATCCACCCTGTAATCCATGTCTCTAACTGGGAATCTCCTTGCAGCAACTGGAGCAGCGTTTCCCGGACATGTTCAGCATGCTGCTCACCTCCCTGAGCAGCTACACCAACCTGGCGGCCCCCAATCCGCCCGTGACTGCCTCCGCCAGTCCCAACCAGCCGCAGTCGGGCAAGTCCAAGTTCGGTTTCGTGCCCAACAAGGAGCTGGTGAAGCTCAATCCATGCCAAATAGCCCTGGAGTCGTTCCAGGTAAGCCCGATATGGGGGCTCCGATCAGGACTAGAACTAATCTTCCTCCTTGCAGGCCTTCCTCACCAATCTGGAGATGGAGCAGATCGCCGGAGTACTGAGCGTCAACTCGCAACTGGCCACCAGCGCCGACTGGCACAGCTACATCGAACTGCTGACCCCCATGGCCATAGGTCTGGGCCAGCAGCTCCAGCTGGGCAGCCCCCAGATGCGGCAGCTGGTCAACTCCCTGAGCAAGTACGTGGCCTCCCCGCACGACGGCCAGCGCGTGGCAGCTGTGGGTCTCTTCTCGCGCCTGGTGCCGCTCAAGCCCTCGGGGGAACTGGCCGCCACGATCCTCTCCCACCTGGGCGCCGCCCTCTCCGATCCCAATGCCGTGGTGCGGGGCCTGAGCATCCAGGGCATGGGCTATGTGGGCCAGCTGGCGGAGAAGGAGGCGAAGCGCTACTCGGAGACGGCTATTGGGGCGCTGATGAAGGGCGTGGACGACCCGGTGGGCGACTGCCTGATCAACATTCCGCTGGAGAGCATGCGCGGCCTGTCTGGCATCCTCAGGGCCCTGCCCGGCGAGCGGGTCGAGTCCTTCCACGTCTCCCTGGCCATCCGCATCCGCCCCTTCCTGGGCAACTACGCGCTCGAGATGCGCGAGGCGGCCATCCAGCTGTTCGGCGACATCTGCGAGGGCAAGCACGACGACGGCAGCAACTCGCCCACCTCCTCGACGGAGGCGCTCCGGGAGCAGCTGGTGGCCAACCTGTTCCCCCTGTTGCTGCACCTCAGCGAGAGCGAGGCGGCCATTGTGTCCGCCTGCCGGGGCACCCTGCAGCGGGTGTGCCGCCTCCTGCCCGCCCCCAAGGTGGTGGAGCTGGCCCAGCAGCAGTTGGGCGAGGAGCGCGGCCACCAGCTCAACTACAGCAGCTTTGTCCTGGAGATTGTGAAGCTGATTGTGAGTAGAGTGGGGACAGATCGTTCCAGACTGTAATCCTCTTTGCATTCCAGGCCATGGAGCTGACCGATCACATCCAGGACTTTATCGACTCCTGCCTGCCGCAGTTGCGCAGCCAGTGGCCGGAGGTGCGAGGCAGTGCAGCCATAGTGATTGGTGAGATCCTCCCCAGCTCCTCCCCCAAGGCAATCTATTGTATAGTTTCTTCTTCTGCTTTCTAGGAATCCTGCACAACTTCCTCAGTGAGAGGAGCGTCCAGACGGAGGCGGTGGCCGGGAAAATAGCCGTCCTGCTGAAGGACGAGCAGGCGGGCGTGAGGATGAGGGCAGCCACCGCCCTGGGCTACTTCTTTGGCGACATATGAGCGGAGCTCGGAGGGACCAACCAACCAAACCAGACTCGATGAACTGCATGTGCTTGTGTTTCTGTTTAGGATTAGTATTTAGATCCGAGTGTGATCCCGTTGCCTCAGCAATTGTTCCCCTATTATGTTTCTTTTTTGGATATTTAACTGTTTGTTGTGTTATGTAATCGAAGATCGCGTTATATACTATATACTATATACACATACCATTATTTATATACATGTACTCTACGTATATATGTTGCTGTTTTGTTGTGAGGCGTTTTCCCAGCCGCAGGACACTGCGTCCTTCGAAAGGACTGACTTGAAAGCGAGTCCTCATTTACGGAGGACTCTGTTATGGACAATAATTCCAATTCGGAGGAGCACCGAATACTGGCCACCAACATGCCAAAGAAAGAGATCGCTGTGGAGGGTGTGAGTGGGACAGGGCACTTCTCTTCCGCCACCTCGGGAGCGAGGTATTATGGCCACCATTCTCGAAGTCCTTGGGTTGCCAAACGCCTCCCATCCAACCTCCCATCCTTGGAAGTCAATTACCGACCGACTATCGAGTGTTATTTTATTCAATTGTGAACCAACACTTAGAAGAACCAAATAAAAAATAAAAACTAAACTATTCCAAAAACAAACGAAGATCTAGTCGAAGGCGTAGTACTGGACGCGGCCGGACGACCAGGCAATGGTCAGGACAGATCGGTCGTTGTCCCTGTAGAGGGGCTGGAAGCAGATGAAGCTCGGGTGCTCCGCAGGAGTCTCGCCGCTCAGGAAGTACGCCGCCGAGATCTGCAGGTCGAACTTCTGGATGAAGGTGCGGAAGACGGCGATGCTGTTGGTGGACTTGAAGGTGACCACCAGGTAGTTGCCGTGCGGGTCCCACGCCAGCTGCTGGGCCGGCCCACCGATCAGGGTCTGGCTGGCATCGATGCTGCAGGCATTCAGGTCGGCTATCGGCAGGACCTCCTTCTCCTCAGCGGAGGCTGCAAAGCGGGGACAGATTAGAGAGATCCTTAAGGGAGATACGTGGGGTTTGGGTTTGTAGTCGGCATTATACAGGCGGTCTGGAAGCTGAAGCAGCCGCCAACCTGTTCCCGACAGCTAGCTTTGATCTAGGGCAGCCTCTAGAGTGCGTCTCCCTGCGAGAGTCCCTACTTCTGGACAAACGCAGGAGACTGGCTGCCCAGGCGGATATCTTGGATAGAAGGACTCACCTTGAAGCATGCTCTGCTGGACAAACTGCAGGCGGTAGAGGATGGGCTCGGTGCTGCTGACGAAGAGCAGGAAGCGTCCGCAGGGCGACCAGCAGGCTGTCTGGACATGGCCACCGGGGCCGCACACCCAGCGCTCCGTGGTCCACTTGTTGTTGCAGTTCCACACCCGAAACACCCGGTCCACGGTGCCGGCAAAGAGCCAGTCGTTTTCCGGCGACCACTTGATCAGCGCCCCTGGTGGGCCCAGGCGGTTCAGGCTCTGCATTGTCCGGTTGTCCGGCTGCCAGATGGTGATGGAGCGATCTCCGATCGAGGATGTTGCCAGCAGGGTGCCGTCCTTGTTCCACTGCATGGAGGTAATGGGCAGGTTTGAGGGACTGCAGGAGCATGGGATACTTTCTTATTCAGAAGGGGAACCAATGATACGGATACTCACTGCCTGAATGACTGGCTGGGGGCATTGGCGCGTCCCAGCTGCAGGCTGTTGTCCACATTCCAGAAGCACAGGCCCTGCCGGCAGCCGATGACTATTTCCCCGGAGCAGAGTGGTCGCCAGGCCATGCAGGTGATATCCGTTTGGGAGGGGCTCTAAAAAAAACAAACAAATCCATGAGGAAATCCATTTGTAATCCCCGAAAGAAACCCTCACCTTCAAGACTATGGGTTGCTTCACGTTCTTCGAGTATATCCGGACAACATCGTCCACTCCCGCCACGGCTAGCTTGAAGTAGTGGCAGTGCCAGGCCACATAGCGCACGTCGCTGTTCAGCCAATCTCTGAAGGAAAGGATTAGAGAGGTGCGGAACGGTTGAGGCCACAAACCACCCACCTGGTCTCCACAAACTGGGCTATCACTTCGCCGCTAAGCTGCTGGGTGTGGGGGAAGATCTTAAGCTTTAGTCCGCCGGCCAGACCCAGGAACTTGTCAATCCAGTCGCCCACCAGGGCTACCCGAGGCGCCTGCTCCCGGCTTCTGGTACTCCTCGCCTCCGCCAGGGCTTCCCAGAAGCCGCCGTCGAAGAAGGTGCGGGTGATCCGCTTCAGGACACGCTCATCCACAGCCACGAAGCTCTGGGTGCCGTAGTAGCGGTGCGACGCCGCATTTGTGGAGATTTCATTCTGCAGACTGATAACCGGATAGCGTTCCAGCTCCGCCGGGTTGTGGCGGAGCGACAGATCCGAGAGATTGGAGAACGGCGGACACTGCTTAAGGTTGCTCAGAGCCGCCATTCCGCCGGGGTTCAACGATCACAGTAACGCGGTAAGTTCCAACAAAAAAAAAAACAGAATAACAGAAAATGCGGCAAGCGCGCGCGATTTAGAGATGGACCGTGAGTGCGGGGTTGTGATAACAGTGTGACCAAGTTTTTGAGATATCACAAAATTTCGGTTACAGCTTTGAGTTTTTCAAAAATTTTGCAATTTATTTTTAAAAACCTAATTTTTGACATAAAATAAACTTGTGCTTTGTAGATAATATATAGTTCACACAATTTGTACCTAAAAATCTATATATATATCTAAATACTCATGATTTCAATAGCTTTTTATTAAAACCAAAAAACTTGACAGATAAAACTTGTAGTATATATTTATCTATGTATTGTAATTTTAGACTTATATTTGTGAATGAAATTTAACAATTTAATGCAGTTCTTACAGTCATTTTGTTGTCTTTAGTGGCAAAAGTGGGTATTACTAGAAATGAAAGCAGAACAGATCTTAGATGTATAACTTTCAAGCATGTAACATATTTTTCTCAAAAATGTAAACTTTTTTTTAAATCTTTAGTTTTAAAACAAGGCACTCACTAAGTATTTAATATTTAAAATATTAATCTTTCACCAAAAGATAGGCCCATCGCTAGGCTATCGATACCTATCGGCTGGACCACCCCCATGAGTTCGAGGTTTTTTTTTTGTTATTGGGACCTGGACGTGAGCACTTGGAGCTGGGCGAGATCCTATGGCGGACAAGAAGAAATACAAGAAAACAGTACGCCGATTGAGACCATCATTGGCACACTTGGTAACCCTTGACCCGTTTCATTGCAGAAAGAGGAAATCCGGCGGGAGATCGCGAGGGAGTTCGATCTCCCGGAGCGCAAGTCCAAGATAGCCACAATACTCAAGCAGGAGGACCAGGCCTACTGTATCTGCCGAACATCTGACTGCTCCCGGTTTATGATGTGAGCCTCGCCCCCCGCCGCCCGCTCCCTGCCGAGTCCAAACACCTGTGGCCATCTGTAAACAATAACAACATTCCTTTCTTCCATTTCAGAGGCTGCGATGGCTGTGAAGAGTGGTATCACGGCGATTGCATTGGCATCACGGAGAAGGAGGCCAAGCACATTAAACAGTACTATTGCCGGCGCTGCAAGAAGGAGAACCCAGAGTTACAAACCATATTCCGGCTGGTGGCCACGGAACGGGCAGCGGCCTCCAATGCCGCCTCCACTAGCTTAAACGCACCGGGCGGAGCGGGTCCATCAGGCGCTCCGTCCGGTAGTAATAGTGGTCCTGGTGGAACAAATGCGCTGCCTCCGCCTCCAGCGCCGGCGGTGGCGGCGCCGATGAAGCGGAAAAACAGCAGCGCCCGAGAACCGAAGATGGGGAGGCGGTGTGGCACCTGCGAGGGCTGCCGCAGGCCCAATTGCAACCAGTGCGACGCCTGTCGGATACGGGTGGGACACAAGCCGCGCTGCATTTACCGCACCTGCGTCGCCCAGGCGGCTGCCGATGCACAGCCCACTACCTCGGGCGCTGGCCGGAAAAGGGAAAAGGCGGGCGCGGCCGCTGCAAAGGATCGTAAGCTGAACGGCGTGAGCGGCCCACGAGCGCCTAGCCCGGAGGTGTTCATCAATCCTGAGTTGGAGGGTATGCGCCAGTGCCACGGACCAGGCTGCTGCTGCCAGGCGCGACCCCAGAGCAAGTACTGCAGCGACAAGTGCGGCTTCAATCTGGCCACGAATCGGATTTTTCAGGTGACTCCAGCTACTTCCAGCTTCAATAGTTCCAAGTTCTAACGAGTAAGTCCACAGGTTTTACCACAGCGTCTGCAGGAGTGGAACCTAACGCCCTGCCACGCCGCCGAGGCGAACCGGAAGCAACTAGACCAGATTCGTCAGAAGCAGTCCATGGTGCGCTTCGCCCTCGCCGAGCTGGAGAAGCGCTGCGAGGAGCTGAACATGGTGGTGGACCGAGCCAAGCGCAGCTCCATCGACACCCAGCGACCCCACGACAGCGCCGACGGCGGGGAGGACGAGCAAAGTATGTACTGCATCACCTGCGGCCACGAGATTCACTCGCGCACGGCCATCAAACACATGGAGAAGTGCTTCAACAAGTACGAGTCGCAGGCCAGCTTCGGCAGCATCTTCCAGACCCGAATGGAGGGCAACAACATGTTCTGTGACTTCTACAACCAGGCCAGCAAGACGTACTGCAAGCGCCTGCGTGTCCTCTGCCCCGAGCACAGCAAGGACCCCAAGGTACTGGACACGGACGTGTGCGGCTCGCCCCTGGTCAACAACGTGTTCAATCCCACGGGAGAGTTTTGCCGGGCGCCGAAAAAAAACTGCTTCAAGCACTACGCCTGGGAGAAGATACGCCGGGCGGAGATCGACTTGGAGCGGGTGCGGCAGTGGCTGAAGATGGACGACCTGATGGAGCAGGAGCGCACGCTTCGCCAGCAGCTCACCTCGCGGGCCAATCTGCTGGGACTGATGCTGCATTCCACCTACAATCACGAGGTGATGGACGAGCTGGTGCGCAAGCAGCAGGAGCATCTGGCGGAGTTCGAGAAGCAGAAACGCCGTCAGCAGCACCAGCAGCAGTTGCAGGCCCAGCAGGCTGCCTTCCAGGTAAGCTTTTTTTTTTTAAACTATATGCCCCGATGTGTATTTATTTAAAATATTTTTTTAATTTTAAGGAAAAACAGAAGCAGCAACAGCAGCAGCCACTGTCGCAGAAACAGCAACCCCAGCAGAAGTCCAACCAGCAGCAACAGCAGCCCCAACAACAAAAACAACAACAACAACAACAATTACAACAAAAGCCACAACAGCAACCTCAACCTCAACCACATCAGCAGCAGATCGTGCAACAGCCACAGCCCCACTTGCTGCAGCCACTCCAGCCACAAACGCCACTCATCTTCCAGCGAAAATCGTAGATTTCCATTCCTTAAAACTTAGTGAGAATATTCGAAACAGAACCGCGAAACTTAAAACCAAACATAAGCATAAACAAAGCAATAAAGTGGCATGCAAGAAACCCTTTTGTGCGAGAATTTCGACACGTCTATACTCGCCCCCCCCCGTTCGCGTTAAAAAAAAAAAAAAACAAGTGGCGTCGTTCGGTGTCGCGTTTCTCTGGGCAACCGGATAACAGAATTGCCGGCTGTCGGTGTTCCCGGAACAAGTACAACGAGAAAGAACAAAGGTTGCCAAGCGCCAGAGTCGGAATCGGAGTAGGAGTAGGAGTCGGAGTCGGAGTCGCAGGGAACGGTTGTGTTTGTTATTGAAAACTAAGCATCAAATATGCATTTATTGATAGCAACCTGCCCATAAAAGGGAAAGCTGCCTTATTGGGCAAGAACGACAGCGAATATCATGTACTATTTTTAGATAATTACGTATGATTCGTGAACGAAATTGTTAATATAAGCTTAAAATTGTACCATTAGTTAACTATATTTAGTTAATTATATTTAGTTAATTATATTTAGTTAATTATTTTTAGTTAATTCTACATTTACAATTGGGTCACTTTTTTGGTAACTATTTATTTAAAAATTCTTTTTTGATTTGTTATTATTAACATTTTTATGTGTTTTTTCCAATTTTTCTGATTTTACATTTTTTCAATCAAAAAATGCTATTATGTCATATATTTTTTTAAAAATTATTTGCTTTTTGAATAATTAATTGCGTATAACTAAAAGTATCTAAGAGAATATGTAAGCTCACGATATTGTAATTTTTTTGTAGACTTTCTAAGAAAAGATTATAAATAAATAAAGTATAATATATATAGGAGTAGTTATTCTTATTATAAGTATAATAGATATAATGTGTAAGAATAACTATAAAGAACCTGTAAAATAATAATTATTGAAAAAATATTTCTTTGGATTGTGTTTCTCTTATTTATTGGTTGAGCGGTCTATAAGAATTATAAGCTAGTTTTCATTAAAAAACCTCCTTGATATAGCTTAGTATTTTTGAGGATCTTCTTAAATATCGGTCTTTTGGGAAGATCTTTAGTGTTTGGATTCGGTCTAGTTCTCAAGAGTATCTCATTGGAGTATAACAGTATTTTAGGGATATTAAAAAACGAGTTCTTAAAAGATTATAGAGGTTATAGGTGAGATTACATTAGAGACTCATTAAAACATTAGTATTTTGAGAATCTAATTTTCTGTTAGTCTTGTTAGAGACGCAATGAAGTATCTCACTATTTTTTGGTAATTAGGATAATAAAAATGTAATTATTATTAAAGGCTGATTAAAGTAAAATAGGCTTCTGTAAAATATTTATTCTTCAAGACCCCATGAAATGTCCCAAAATCGTACAGTTTGGGTTTAAAATTAGTTTTCTTTGGTAAAACTGTATATAAGAGACTTCTTTTAAATAGGGATTTTTAAAATCCAAATTTTCTTCATTTATGTACTTTGTATACATATAATCTGTTTAATTATTATATTTTTATTATATTACATTTTTTATATTTATTTAAATTTTAAAAAAATCTATTTATATGTGAGCTTCTTCTGTGAGCCCATCTTGTTGTGAATATGTCCCGCCTTGGTTCAGGGTGAATGATATGCAGAGGTCCTGCAGGACCTGCTAGGCAATGAGTTGTGGAGGGAGGTGCGGGCAACCAATGGAAACGACAAAGGCGAAAGGACAATGCGGAATGGGGTAGAACAGGGAAACTCTAAACAGGATAACAAGAAGGCGACGGATACCAGTTGAAATTTCTAAACGTAGTCGCCGGGATCGGATCGGTATACCGGATGCCGGAAAAGTGGAAACAAGTAGTCGTAGACTTTAGTGCCTGTGTGACCTAGTGGTCGAATCGTACTGTCGGTGGCAGTTATAGTCCGGAATTTTTCTACTTCACACACGGCCCGATTCTCAAAAATAATAACACACACACTTTTTTGTATTAAATTCGATTCTTTTGTTTTGTAAAATCGGAACCAAGGGTGGAGTCCAAGAGCCGGAGAGTCGGGTGTCCACCGATCCGATCGTTCCACCGTCGTAGGGCCTTCGTCGATCCTTGGTCGTTGCTCGAGTGTTACGACCATATATTATCAGTATATATATTGTCAGTATTCTACCTTCCAACCACATCCATCGTGAGTGAATCGTTCAAATCGGCAAATCGGAATGGTTGGATACCACTAATAGTAACATCAGAATCGGTATCGATTCAAGGAACAAATTCAAAGATTCCAGGACACTATCTACGCACCTATAAACGCTCCAAGGCGAGGAACTAAAGTGGAACTAAGTGGAACAGGAGTGCTAATATAAAGCGACTAAATAGCGATTAAGAGTGAAACGGTACTTGACTTTTCCCATTTTAATCCAATCACGGCTATTTATTTTTCGCGTTTCGTTTCCCGGTGTCCATGTTCAGGATCCTGGACGAGTGCTCTTCAAATACCCTCGAGGACAGCTCACCTCCATAACGGTATGTCCCACGATTTTGGTTCAAATGTCACATCTCAGGATATATCTTTACAGTTTTGGTTCCATACTTGGGATTCAAGTTGTGTTCGTAATTCCATATATATTTTTTATTTTATATCTTGTGCAAATTGCCAGTTGACGTATTGTCAGTCAAGCCCCCTCCCCCATATATATCCAAACCTCAATATATATTCAAGTATATATCAAGTAGACGGCAGCCGGGATCTTGGTACATAGGGAGAAATATATAGAGGCCACCCACCTCCCCCACTCCAAATATCCTTTGTCCCGCCGTTATAATCGGGTAAGTGACGTGCTCCACTTCAAAACTTTTGTGCCAAATTCAATTGTGCTCATTGGTTTTACACTCGTTAGCAGGGCTTTTTTTTAAATAACTAAAAAATAATAATAATAATAATTGACATAATTATTTTTTGAATAGTAATAGTTTTTGGAAACTTGCTTCAAACTATACTGTCATGTTGCCTTGAGGGTTTTATAGAGAAACAACTAAAATTGAGGGACTTATTAAAGAATGGTTTTATTACTAGATAACATAGGGTGACATTAAATTCAAGAATTTATCCCTGGCTGTCAGATAATCTTAAACTAATGAAAAACTTATTCTGTCATTTTAAGCCATCTTAAGTTGCCCTCTAATAGGTTAGCCCATTTTAACATTAGGATTAAGTTTTTTCATTCTGACATTGAAACTAGGTAGGTTCCTCATTTTTCCTAACTAATAAAATAATGAACAACAAATTAAAATTTTATTTTCTTTTTTTTCTAAATAAGAATCAACTCCTTTAATTATTTCACATATCGACACATTTCCATAAAATTAGTGTCTCCAAACATCGTGCTTTACAGTAAAAGCTTTTCTTTGCAGAAGTTTTTCTTATATAAGTAATGAAATAAACAGAGTTGATAGAAATAAATAGGACAAATTGTATCCTTCCTTAAGCTAAATTATAGCTAAATTTGATTTAAAATTTCAATATTCAACTTTACTTCTTAGGAAATGGCTCGATATGTAAGTAAGCAGTATAAATGGTTCCTGCTTGTAATTCTACAACGGTGGTGAACTGCTTGACTTTCTAGGATGTTTCTTAGGATTATTAACCATTTCGATCTATTAATATTAAAAATAAGAAAATACCTAAAGATTTTAATAAAGTGATGTTATATGAGTTAATATTAAATACTTCAATATAATTGTCCAACATGTTTTTTTTTTAAGTTCTAAGAGTTTAAATATCTTAACTTGAAATAGTCTCCTACTTTATCTAAGTACGTATCTAAGAACATAATTAAGTATTTAGGTGGTTAGCTTTTTAAAATATATACCTTATTTTAAAAAATGTTAAAAGAACTTAAGGTTTTTATAAATTGTGGACTTGAAAATGAAAAAAACTTGGAAAAAGTCTACCTGTGTGTATTTATGGATGTATGTATATGTTATATCCATTCTTTATCTAGATCACCTGCTTACACCTGCTTACATACATAGACGACTCAGAATAAGAAAGCTAACAAACAGTAACGAACTGCTTTCCCTGCGCATGCGCCACTCTCTTCTGAAACTCTCTTCCATCTCTTCACCTGATATTAATGTTTTGGGATCTCAGCTTAAACGCATTTCTTGTTGCTCTGTGTTGTGGATGCCCTTTGGCATACAAACACATGTGTGTGCTATAAGTACTTGTGCTTATTTATTTGTTAAACAAATTCATTTGCCATGTTTTGTTGGCTGATTTTCAATCCGTACGGATTGCATGCCGTATATTTTGATTTGATTGTTTTGCGGCGTTCGCTGCAGCAACAATGGCAACAACAACAACAACTGCCAAAGCAGCGCAGTACCTGACGCTACCTGACGTTGCCCTGGACACTTGAGGGTCCATTGTAGGCATTGCCAGTCCAATCTGACGCCCCTCTTTCTCTCTGGCTTTCACTCTCTCCGATCGATCTAACAATAATTCGGTTTCAATCAAGACCGCCTCGCAATTTATTTATTCGTTTCCTATGCTTTTTATTTGTGCTCTCGTTATGGCCGCTGTTCCGTTTCCGGTGATTTTCGGTGCACTGAGAGAAGATATGATACAGTATGTCAGGCTAAAGAAAATGATTTTTTTAGAGATAATATTTAGGGGATATTTGATTTCTAACATAACAAAAAATTTCAGTATTGGTTTTTAAAAACTGAACTATCTTTTTTTGGAATAAGAATATTAAAATAACTGTTTTAATAGAACTAAATATTTATATTTTTAACTTTAAATATTTTTAATAAAAACATTAAATTTACTCTTAGTTGCTATTCTTGCTATTTTTGATAATAAAGATTTATTGCAAAAGTAAAATAAATTTAATTGGAACAAATAATATGGCTTATCTGGTTATGGAATAACTTTCGCTTCAATTTTTTCTCTCACTGCACGTGTACTTTATTTTTGTTGCCGTTTAATTTTATTTTACATACTTGATGCCGTTTGCATATGAGAGCGAGCACGCGAGGACCCAGATGCTCCAGTTGGAGCCGCAAAACCACTCGGGCGCCACTACAAATCGCGCAAACTACAAACGGGTACTAGTAACGGGAACAGTATTTATTTTTGCCAGCAGCTGGCTACAGTGCCCACCCGCTAAAGAGCACTCTCGCTTTCATAGATCCTTTTAAAGACAGAAATACAAAAGTGATATTACTAGTGTCTTTTATATTGTAAAGATTATTAAAAGAAAATAAAATAAAATAAAAGAGTTTACGTTTTGTGTGTTTCAACGAGAAGTTTCTGAACTCTCAAAATAACATGAATTTGTCTGTAAATAATTATAATATTAACTAACTAATAATATTTTGTTTTTTTTTAACTGAACTTAATTTAATGTACACTACACTGTCTGTATAACTTGGTTTTCAATCAGCAATGATTTCTAAAATATAAAAATATGGTATTAGCAAAATAATTCTTATAATTCTCAACTTATAGATTGGAAAGCTCTTCCAATAAACATTGGCTTCTATTAGTAATTTTTTAACAATAGACTTATTTTTATTAAAACTAAAAAGTTATTACAATAAAATGTTTTCTAAAAATAAAACGTATGATATGCATATTCTTATAATTCTCAATTTATAGTTTGGAAAACTCTTCCGAAGAAAGTTATCATTTTGCGACAATTCCTATACCTTTCTTTTATTTCAACTATGTAAAAAGTTTTTACCAAAATATAGTGGCTTTTAAAGTATATTTTTTATAATTTACTTTTGATTTTAATGATTTTTTCTAAAACGTACTTATAATACTCACCCAATAAATAATAAATAGGTCCTAAATAAAACGTGTTTTTATGTAAATTTATGTTAATATTCTCAACTATTCTCAACTATATGGTAATGTTATCTCGAATATACTTATGTATGTATTTATGTACTTTCGTGAAAGTTTTTCTTTAAGATTCTTATAATTCCCTCCAAATAACTGGCTTTTATGATAAAATGCGTCCAAGGACATCTTCTATAATTCCCAACTGATAATTTCTAACCCTAATGCTATTTTCAGCGGGAATCTTTTCTGGATATTCCCGTGGCGTTGGTTAGCCAGCTAACAAAACCATCAAATTGGCGCCAGTCGAGGGAACTGGTGATGCTTTTGCCCCATTTGGCGGCACCACTTCGCCGCGTCACCGTCCGCCGGGCAAGTCGAAAACTGTTCAGGAACTGATTCTGGAGGGTGCCCGCCGTCGGCGACGTCAATGCGGGGTACAGGACCCAAGCCCAAGTCCGCACATCGCTCCCGATCGCCATCACTTGGTGCCGGAACCCAAGGCCAAGGAGCGCAAGGACAAGACCCGTGCGAGGGAGCGCGAGCGAGAAAAGGATCGAAATAGAGAGCTCGAACGAGATATAACACGTCAGCGTGATATAGAACGTGAGCTTGATATAGAACGTGAGAAAGTGCGTGCTATAGAACGCGAAAGAGAACGCACAAGACAGCGGCAGCGGGAGCGCGATAGAGAGCGCGAAAAGGAGTGCGAAAGAGAGCGCGAAAGAGACCGGAAGCGGGAGCTTGATCGGGAGCGGGAGCGGGAGCAGGAGCAGCGGGAGCTTAAGTGGGAGCAGGAGCAGCGGGAGCTTAAGCGGGAGCGGGAGCGACAGCGTGAGTGGAACAGGATAAACAAGGAAAGGGAAAAAAAGGAAGCAGCCCAACGACAAATGGCATCCCAACCAGTAACCACGGCTCACGAGCGACGCATCCATGAGCTGGATCACGATGTGGAGCGTATCTTTGATGTGCGGAAAGTAAGTAACGGTACAGTACTTTGGGGACTTGGAGCATTTACATATGTGTGTATGTATTAAGGATATGATCAACCTTGACGGAGAGTTTAGGCGAAAGTTTTTCCAATCTTATTCTTTTATTCTTTGTTCGATCTTTATCCTTTTAAAAATTTCCATATTTTTTATTATTTTTTTTAATAAAATAAAATTATTTAAAGCGTCTGGGTAAAGGAGCCTATGGAATCGTGTGGAAGGCCACCGACAAGCGACACAAGGAGACTGTGGCCCTCAAAAAGATATTCGATGCCTTCAGGGATGAGACAGATGCCCAGCGCACCTATCGCGAAGTGATCTTCCTGCGGGCCTTCCGCCACCATCCCAACATAATCCGACTCATGGATATTTTCAAGTGACTTAACCATATGGGATACATATGCCAAACCTCTATTTATAAAAATTTGAATAATTTTTAGGGCTGCCAACGATTTGGATTTTTATTTGGTGTTCGAGTTTATGGAAAGCGATTTACACAACGTAATTAAGAAGGGCGATGTCCTGAAGGACATTCACAAGCGCTTCGTCATGTACCAGCTGATCAATGCCATCCAGTATATGCACTCGGGTAATGTGATCCACAGAGACTTGAAACCCAGCAACATTCTCATCGACAGCAAATGCAGGTGAGGTTTAAAATATATAAATTATATATTTTTAATTTTACTGATGGTTTGGTTTTTAGGCTAAAAGTAGCGGACTTCGGATTGGCTCGTACTCTCTCCATGAAGCGGAAGTCCGCTTTTGATGACATGGAGAACGACGCCATGCTGACAGACTATGTAGCCACACGCTGGTATCGTGCTCCCGAAATTTTAGTGGCTAGTCGAAAGTAAGTAATATCTTAAATTATAATATAATAGGTATAAATATAATTGTAATTATCTTGTTAACGCCTATAAAAGTCTATAAAAGATCGACTTTCAAGTCCGCGGGGTATCTGTGTCCCCTTTTTTCCAAAAATCACATTTTAGTACCAAATTTATATACAAGTTCCCAGCTTCTATCTCCAAAAAACACCAGATTATAGGCATTTTCGGTCGATCAGCTATGTGTGAGAATGTACGGAAAGACTAACAGGTATCATATAGTCCACCAATCGGAAATAATAAGACTCTTCTGATTTAAGTTTATAAACTAGCCCAGCTTCTGTGCTATTATTAGCCATTTTTCACAAGAAAATAGTCGATTGTTAATTTTTCGAATAACTCTTTTGGGTGTAGGATAGAAGAATCAGTGGCAAGTTAGTATTTTGAAATATTAGTATTTTTTAAGTAAAATATTTTTGAAAAAATGAAAGTTAAACGTTTTCATTTATGTTCAAATCTGGGGTCATGGGAGCCATCTAGGCCTTTTCCTTTTGAATCCAAAGTTTTACGGACCGTGCTGATTGGATTCGGGCAATGTCGGGCTGAAAATGCCACTTTAGATTTCCAAATAGGTTTTTAAAAAGAAATATACTTTCGTATGAAATAATCAAAGTTTCTCATAAAACTTCTCATAAAAAACTCATAAAACTGCATCCTCTGCTGGGAATCGGAATTTCTAATGAAATAGAAATTTTGTTTTCCCATTTGCCAACTTTTTAACTTTAATTAACTGAAAACTATTTTATTATTTTTATTTTGTACATTTAATGTATGAAAGTATTGGAATTACACATTCAATTTTTAAATAAAATAATACAATTTAAATTAATATTAATAAATATTCGGTTTTTTTTATCCATAGTCCATTTAGAATCACAGTTTAGTTTTTTCTTCGGATATGCATTTTTACAGAAATACACAACAAGCTGGAATCAGTTCTGTTGAATGAGAAATGGTTTTACAAAATGTATTATTTCGTATCTGTTATTTTAAAAATATAGCTTATATCAAATATGTATTGAAAATATCGGAAATAGTTGGCGGCTTTTTATGAAACTAAGTAGATCGGATCAGTTGGCCAGCAACAGAATCTATATGAAGTTACCTATCAAGCTACTATCTTAAAAAATACCAATGTTTTGGCATTTACGATTAATCAGTTGTATGGCAGCTATGGGATATAGATCCCGACATACATACATACTTCAAAGGGAAAAAGGATGTATACAAGTTTCAAGTCGATAGCTTCAAAAATGGTAGATAAGCTCGAAACAGACAGACGGACATACCTATTTCGGAGGAGGTGTTTAGGAGGTGAAGAATATAATTTAAAAATATGTCTCCACTGGGTTGCACACTTTTGACCAACATTATAATAGTATCTGCAAGGGCACAACAAAATAAAATACTCACGTAGAATCGAACCACCAGCCAAAGCCTAACTTCTTTGCGAAATTAGGATAAGGATAATCATCCTCAACTCGATCATAGGTCGAAAATTTGGTGCCCCTTTTAAGGCTCAGGCGGGTTTTTCCAGTACAGTCGCCAGTATCTTTCACCACGTATCCTTCGCTTCGATTTCCAATGACAAAGTTGTCACATTTGAAGGCGCCATCCCACAAAGATATCTCATGACGGTCTCCCTTCGTCAGATGGTGCAATGAATCGAGTCCGATAAAGAAATCATCGCTATAATAGTAGTACTTTCCGACTTCTCCGAATCCATCTGCGTATTCCCCATACGTGCGATTAAACGTATATGATTGACATTGTTTATCGTAAACCAACATCCAACCAGATCCAATATGCTCGTTCGATACACAAACCACTTTCAGTGGATCTGATCCGGGTATTCGGATTTCCTTGACGACCCATTCTTCCTTTTGGCTTCGTGGACAACTATCTGGAAAATCTAAGGAATTCAATGTTTAATTTTGAAAATTACAGTGTTCTGCCAGCTCACCTTGGGTTGGTGTTTTCGACTTCTGATTACGACTATCATCCTGTTGATTTGCTGGCACTTCTCCAGTTTTTACTTCCCATTTTTCTTCTTTTTTATCCGAATTTGTATTCAACTCTTCAGTGTTAGATTTCGAATTTTCTAGATTATTTTTCAGTTCACATTTTTCCTTTAGGCCACTAATTTGATTTTTTAAAAGCTCGATTACCTCATTTTTTGTATTTACTTGAGCTTCAAGGTGGTCAACTTCCAGATTCTTTGATTGCCACCTTTCATAGATGACATTATAATCATTAAGTTGACGCAGCACTTTCGATTGACTTTCCTGCAAGTCCGAATATTTTTTCTGCAAATCGAAGTATTCTTTTTGAAGCTGGGATATCTGGGCTTCCTTCCCCTGGCACTTCTCAAAGTATCTCAACAATGGCTTAACTATTGGATAGCAAACAGAAGCACACTCGTCCTCCTGTTCTTCAGTTAGGTAGCACGACTGTGGAATTGGAATTTAAATTAGTTTTCGAAATAAAAACACTCCAACCGGTTATTACTTCTTCCAATCCGAGGGAGGCCGAAATAAAAAAAGTAGCAGAGATGAGGACCACTGGGAAAATCATTTTCCTATTTTGTGTTTGAAACAAACTTTCGCCTATGAGAGCTACTGGGAGAATTCCAACTGATGCTTCCAGAATCGCGGCTTTGGCTTTTTAAATCATCCTCGAGCTTGAGCTTGAGGGTCTCTGATAAGACGATCAGTCTCCATGCGAGTGTAGTCTACGGAATTGGGACAACTGGGTATTGCTATTAAAAAGACAAAATATTCCAAAGATAGTCTGCGTACGTGTATGATGTCAAAGGTCATAAAACATTGGCCTTGAACTTGGCCTTGAGCTTGAGCTTGAGGGTTTCTGATAAGACGATCAGTCAAATATTCCACAGAGCGCGTACGTACAATGTACGTATGTAAGCATACAGGATATACCACCAAATACGATAGAAACAACCATAGATACTCTCAATATGACAACCTAGCCGTACGTAAAAGAATCAAGGGTCAAGTCCTTGCAGAATCGAATTTATCTTTCATTAAACTTTGGCGAAGCATAGTGTGCTAAACTTGTGGCCACTACTGTATGTATGTATGTACATATATGATGCCACAGGTCAGAAATATTTAGATTAGCAACATAAATATTTTTCGTGTATTCTTTTTAAGAGTGTATACATACCATATGTAAAAACACTCCAATGGAAAGTAGTTTTTTTTTTTAAATATATTTATTTAATAAAATTAAATAAAACGCGAAAGGAAAGCTAACTTAGGGCGGAGCCCCTGCAGTTAAGATCGGATATATATCGCAAATATCGGATATAGTTGCCTGATCCTATATATAAGTATATACATATATGTATGTAAAAAGTTGTGCTGTTTTATTTTATATAGCTGTAAGCGAGTAGTAGTTTTGTTTTAAAAACAAAGAGATGTGTTTTTATTATAGTGTTATTTTATAGTTTTATAGTTTATCTACTCCGCATAAATAAAACCATTTTGGGCACTTATTAATACTTACTTATTAAAGATAATCCTAAGCGTTAGGATAGATTCGAATATTTCTTGAGATTAACAGTGATCCTTTACTGTGCCCGAATGATATTCAGACTAGAGGTCTGCAGGAATACATTCTTATTGCGTCAGCCATAGAATACATCCGAATGGAATAGAATGAATGAGTGCAAGAGACACAACGAATTGAATGAGAGGGAGTGAGAGAGTGAGAGAGCATTGTAACTCATGGGCATTCTCTTGCTTTGAAACAGAGTGAGTTGGGGTGGGAAGTAAAAAGAGTGCTTTTGGAATGAGGAATGCAGCCGAATGTCTCGAATGGTTTTTAAAACACTCTATGCATTCATTTATTTTCTTCTGTTGCGCAAAACGCTTCTTAAATACTTCTTTAATAATGAGGGAATTGACCGAAAGGTGAATTATGATAGAGTGTTTTTTTACTTTGTTTTTTAACTGTTATTATTATTTTCTTAGTGTTTATTGTTTAGTTTTTCAAAATTAAATTATTTTGCAAATTTTTTTTAGCGGCAAAATTGTGCTGGAAAATTATTTATTAATAAATATTGAAAATATTTTTACATTTATATAAGTAAAATATGTAAAATAAAATATACAGCATAATAATGAATATTCCTGGAAAAAAAATCAATGACTTAATTCACTTTTGAATTATTTTATTATCAGCGTCTAAAAATACAGGCAAATATGCATAGTTGTATTGTACATTCTAGAATGCATTCGAAACAATTCGAATGCGAGCTGTAACTCTAACTCATTCAATTCGGTTTTCATCCCCCGAATGTTGTGCGAGTGAGACCTACACAGTCGCACTCACTCATTCATTAATTTTCGTCTTAGCATTCTATCTCACTCAATTCATTTTCGAAGTTGTGCATTTGAATGTCGTTTTTTAGCTATTCATGCAGACCTCTAATTCAGACATTAAAGGACAATGTTTTAATTCGCTACTATTCGAATAAATCCGATTGACTCGCCACACTTTCTTAGAGAAAGAATAAGTTTTATTCCCTTAACTTATAAAGTATATTTTTTTTCATTAGGTATTTCTTCATTGATCTATTATTATTACTATTATTAATTTAGGTATACAAAAGGCATCGATATGTGGAGCCTGGGCTGCATTCTTGGCGAGATGATACGACAGAAACCCCTATTTCAGGGCACTAGTACTATAAATCAGGTAAGGCATGGATTAGAAAATATATTCTAATAATATATATATATATAAATCGATTTGAAAATCCGTAGATTGAAAAGATAGTGACTGCCCTACCGGATGTGACTCAAAGCGATATAGAGTCTATCGGAGCCAGCTTTGGAACGGTTCTACTGAGCAAGAAGATCAACCGCGATCGCCGCCATTCGCTGGACGAGATGCTGAGGAACTGCTGCGACGACGCCATGTCCTTGGTCAAGGGTCTCCTGGTGCTGGACCCCCTTGGTCGACTGACTGCCAAGGAGGCCATAATGCATTCGTTTGTGAGCCGCTTCCGCACTGCCTCGGCGGACATGGAGCTCCGGCTGGACGTGAGCCCGCCGCTCCAGGACGATGTCCGGTATGGAGTGGACGAGTACCGCGCCAGCTTGTACGACATGATCGGCACCGACTCGCGTAGCAGTGCCCGGAAGACCGCCGTCACCTCATCCACTGCTCATCCGACCCCGGGGAGTAGCCGGGAGGCCGTCACGTCCGTCTCGGCCCCCAAAGGTCAGCTAAATCGCTCGGTTTCACGTGCCAGGTGAGTGGGGCAATTCTTTCTATCCTCGGGATGGATGGATGGATGGGTGGGGGGTGATCCTAGTAGTAGGTGTAGTAGTAGGGGATGCTGGTTGGTGGAGGTGCCTCTCTAGCCGCTCTAGCTGGTCCCCTTTTCCAGGTACCGTCGTCCCTAGCAGAGACGTGCCGCCTCCACTGCCCACCACACCATATCCAAGGACACCATATCCGGTCAGGACAGTGGAGATCTCTCCGCGTCTGCCTCGGTTTCCATTTCCACATCTACAGACTCCACAAGTCTCCAACAACCACAACATCAACACCACAAAGCACACCAGCAGGAGCCGCCAAAGGAGCGTCCACACCGATCCCGAAATCGTTATCCTTTGCATCCTCGTCGCCTCAATCAGCGCAAGAGTCAATAGTACACTGAAAAAAACGGTTTGGTACGAAAGCTAGCTTAGATCCTATTTGTTAAGGTTAAATAATTAAGATAAAAGCTGAAGTTTATAATTATCCTTAAAGAGTTTATAAAATCTTCATTATATTCATTAAGAGTTAGTAAAAATAGTTATAACTAGTTAAGATTAGTAAGTAATTAATAGTTTGTTATTTATGATTTAATTAATGTTCTATTTAAGAATAATAGGCTTATACTGTAACTTTTGTATTTTACTTTAATATTAATATAGTGAATAAATACATTTTTTTTTACTTTCAATTATAAAGTTAATAAGTAAAAAAATTAAATTGTAAAATAAGGAAACAAGTTTATTTTAAATACAGGGGTGCCATCCACTAATTTATTTTTATGCCTAGACGTTTTTTTTTTTGGTTGGATTGCAGTTAAATTTTTTTATTTTTTTTATTACCGTTAATTATAAACAATGAATAAAATATAAAAATTAGTTTTTTTCATGATGCAATATGTTTTTATAACCCTTTGGTTCGACATTTCAGCAAATAACTGTGGCACCTCTGATAGTTAAAGTTTAAGGAATATTTAAAATTAATGTGAACTTACTGGTAAGAAACGCTAGATGCTAATTTATAAAGAAATACATAAATAAAATCTATGAAATCTTCAAAAATTTTCTTAAGGTGTTATGCGCAATTGAGCGTCAAAAAAAAACATTTTAAAAATTCATAAGAGATTTAAGAGAACTTAAACAGTTTGAACACAATTATTAATTAATTCAGGAGAAGCTACTTTTAAGAAGATAATAGAATGCCGATCATGTTAATATATTTCCATTATAACATTAGTCCCTTCTACTAGCAGATACTTCTGTATCCTTGGTAATCCTTTGTTTTTGCCGGTTTGGAATTTCCAAAATAAAAAAAATTGTTTTAAAAAATACATGAACAATAGATTTAAAAAAATCAAATTGAATTTTAAAAAGCTTAACTTTAAAAAAATAAATTTTTACTGAAACCGTTTTTTTAAATTGTTGAAAAATACAGTAATACATTTTTGAAAATACATTTTTTTGTGCAGTACCTGGGGAATATATATTCCTGGGGAAAATTTTGTTCAGACCGATCACTTTATCAATTTATCCTTAAAATCGAGAGCACCGACTTCTAAAACGGTATTTTGAGAAAAACGCGTTGAAGTTCCTTTGTGACACTCAGACATTGGCATACAAAGTTATGTATAGCTTCAAAAATATTTATAGAACTGAGTTCAAAGCTTGAAAGGACATCCACATATATATGTAGTTTGTCTACAAAAAACATTTATATTTCATATAAATTCTAATTGTGTATAACCTCTAAAAAACTAGAGCTGAATAAATGAATAAGAAATGTATTTGTTAAATGGGAAATATTTATATAGTTGTTTTAAGATAATATTATAACGAAATTAAAACAAAAACTAAAAATAAACATTTTTGTAAAATAATATATCAAGTTATTAGCGCTTTAAATAATAAATCAATCAAAGTTAAAAATTAGTTACTTATTAATTTAGTTAATTATTTTGCTTGATTTTTTGTTTGATTTCCGTAATCACACCACCCACCATCCCATCTCATGCCACCCAAAAATCAGCCAGAAACACATACATACTTCTTCTTCGACTCATCCACACCCCCCATCCCTCCCCCAGGACGACGAGTGCCAGCCAAAAGGTTCTCGCGGAGCGGCAGCCGCCACCACAGCGACCACCTCCCCCAGCGGCGCCGCAGCGGGGCGAGCCGGAGAAGAATACCTCGGGAGTGAACATACTCAGTCGCAATCTTACCCAGAGCTGGGCCGAGCAACATTGCCACAAGCGGACGTCCCTCCACCACCATCCACCCCAGGAGCAGCCCCATCTTGCCCAGCAGCAGCAGCAGCCGCAGTCGAGGCCCCAGGAGCCGATGCTTGTTTCAATGGCAACCATCACCTCTGTCGTTCACCAGAAGCACCGCAGCAAGGACAGAGCTCAGAGGCATGCCCCACAAAGGGAAGAAGCTGGAGAAGGAGCTGGCCGAGGAGAGGGCACAGGAGGAAGCGGAGGAGTAGGAGGTGTCGGAGAAAGAGGAGAAGCCGCCCCCGGTCCAGGTACTTCCCAGAGCAACACCCAGACCCAGAGCGTCATCCATAACGCCGAACGCAACATGGTCATGGCCCGGAACACCCACGCCGCTCTCCGCAAGGAACTGGCTGCCGTGGCGGCCACAGCCCCCCGGAAAAAGAGCTCCTTCTGGCATGACCAGGCCAAAGCCCATATCCATGACTCGGAGGCGCGGATGGAGGCGCTCCTTAGAAAGGCTAAGATTCCTTTGTACAGATCTCCCCTCGAGAGGGCCGAGTGGGGCGGGGACAAGAGCTCGGCCTCTGGGGAAACTGACTCCATGTCGCCCCATGACCGCAGCCGATCCCAGCGCAAGCTGCAGAAGGAGAAAAAGCCCCGGGTGAAGACTAAAGTCTATCAGGCTGGCGAAGATCGAGCCAGGGAGGGCAGAGCTGGAGAGGGTAGAGCTGGAGAGGGCAGAGCTGTAGAGGGCAGAGCTGGAGAGGGCAGAGCTGGAGAGGACCGAGCCAGAGTAAAGGTGGAAGAGCGCCGAGCTGAAGAGGGCAGAGCCAGAGAAGACCGAGCCAGAAAAGACCGAGCCAGAGAAGAGCAAATCAGAGAAGACCGACCCAGAGAGGACCGAGGCAGGGAATTCCGAGACAGGGTGGATCAAGTCGGAGAGGTCAAACCCAGAGTGGGAAGAGCCCAAGAAGACCGAGTCAAAGAGGACTGCACGGGAGACGTCCGAGGCGAAAGTGATCCGCAAGCCAAGCGGGAGCCCACGTCGGAGGCGAAGCTGCAGCGCCGGAGGAAAATAGAAAGGGAGAGGCAGCTGAAGCACCGCGAGTGGCAGCAGCGAATGGAGCGGACGCAGCGAGTGGTTGAGAATGAGCGCCTAATGGAGCTGGAACGCCGCCAGCTGGAGGACCTCGATCTCCAAAAGAAGCGGCTGGCGGCCAAGCGACAAGAACCTCGCCATTCATCAGGTACTGTGGCCAAGCGTCGCATCCCCACCGCCACCACACCCTTCAAGACCCACCTGGAGTCGGACAGGAAGAGCGACGAGATCGAGCAGTCCTACCCGCACGGACGCATTGAGTCGGAACAAGCCAAGAAAGGAGACAAGCCGCCGGCCAAGGACAAGGACTTGAAGGCGAAGGAGCCGAAGAACAGAGAGCCCAAGGCCAGGGAGCCGAAGGAGAAGCCTAAGACAGAGTCAAAAGGCCAGGGTCTGAGCTCAATTCCGCCATCCACGGCGGCCTGTTACATTTCCAGGATCAGCTACCTGGAGGCCGAGATGGCCAAGTGCAAGCGTCAGCTGGTGAGCTTCGTGCAAGACAACCAGGAGGTTCTAACTCACCGCAAGCTGCGATATCATTTCGAGCAACTGAAGACCCACCGGAGCGGCGACTCTGAGGATACTGGGGACGAGGACGTTCATGAGCCGTTCAAGCCCGGCAGGGGGGCCGGTGGTGGGGATTCCGACGCCCAGAGCTACCAAACCTTTCTGCAGGAGCAGAGCCGCCAGAAGCAGCTGCAGCTCAAGGAGTTCCTGGCCCGGGACGAGAGCAACGACTACGAGCATCCGGATCTCTCCAACGTCTACAAGGTGCGAAGCTATCACGCCTTTGCTCGCGATCAGGCAGCGCAACCGCCTCAGCAACGCGACTTCATTAAGCTCTTCCAGATCGCCGACGCCTCGGAAAGGGTGGACTCGCCGGAGGCCAGGAAGGAGCCGCTCCCCAACAAGCGGGAGTTTGACGAAACTCTGAAGGTCTGTCGCAAGCACCGCGAACGCATAGAGCTGAACCGCCAACTGGGTCACTGCCATCGCCACCATGCGCATCATGAGCACCATCATCACCACCACAGTTCCAACCATCCCCGTAATCCCCACCAGCAGCATCTCTGCCATCGCCATCGCGCCGCTGGCGGGCCCACCTACGAACACATGTGTCTGCGCCCGGAGGACATCCAGGAGGCTCAGTTCGTCGAGCCCTGCAACTGACCGGATGGGACGACACACGTGTTAACTCAATCATGTTTGGTCACTCCATCACCGGATGTACCTACATCCAATATATCTTAATACTAATGAGCATTCGCCTTAAAGTTAACGATTTCATTTTTTATTTTTGCGGGGATCGGGATGCGGATATATGTATATACATATATCTAGTGTATTCACGTTTTCCTAGATTTTCTTAATATTTTAAAAATATTTTCTTTGAATGTTAATTGTTAATGGTATTGGGATGATTGTATTATCTTACTTTCCAAAATGTTTAAGATTTTTAAGTCATTGTTTTGGATATATTTTTTTTTTGGAGACAAAATCTATTGAATCCTTTTGACTCTCCATTATGTTTTGACATTACCAGGGACCGTAAATAATGATTATTGTTATGATTTTCAATTTTTAATGTTAGGATCGTAATTTTAGAAAGAAAGAAAATATAACTATTTAAAAAATAGGTTTTGACCATTTTAAGATTTTTATGAAGTGCGTTTTTAGAATTTTATTTTCTAAGAAGTTCAAAGCAAATAATAGGCAAAAAATTAAAGAACTGTTTATTATATTAGCTCTAGTTTTATATATATATTAATATTTTTTTATAATAGATATAATAGGGATAATTCTGTTTTTTTTTTCAGTTGAAAAAATCACTTTAAATTAGACTCTATTTATTACTTTACTTATAATTTCTTCTCATGAAGCATAATTTGGGAGAAAGAGCTAACCGCGACATTTACAAGAGTCTTAAATGGACAATTTTTCAGCAAAAAATCGATTTGTTTTGATGTCATTTTGAACTCAAATTTAACTCTTTTTTTCGAGTAATTTTTCAAGTAATAAGAACATTTATTGGAATCATATTAGATAGTTGATTTGATAGTTTTTAGATAGTTTTCAAGTAGTATTTAAGCTTATATACGACTCGTTCTCGAGTTATATACAAATCGTCTTTTTTTTCCTCCTTGACCAAGGTTAAAAAAAAGACTTTACTTTGTAGTAATAGTGCATTAAATATGTATGTTTTTTTTTAAGATTTCTGTTTGAGTCATGAATGATATTTTGCGAACTTCAAGTCTCCCATAAAATGGAACTTTTCCTAAGAATTTTAATGACTCGAAAAAAATGGACAGGTCATCATTTTCAAAACGACTTACAAGTGCTGGAGGTTGAGGTTGTCTATTATAATAGCTATTATAATAAATATTTTCACAATAATACGTGGGTTTTAGTTAAGAAAAAATATAGATGTAAAAGACGCAGGTCAACCTATAATTGTGAACCATTTTTTTTTAATTTTAACCCTACCTCAAATGATTTAAGGTGTAAATATTAAAAAAATACATTAATATGCAATAAATAAACCACTTATGGATGCTATATATAAACCAAGAACTTTATAAGAAAAAAAAGTGTTATAAATTGAAACAAAAAATAATACTCTATTAATAAATTATAAAACTGGCTTAAGCTGAAAAATATTTTTTTTTTTAGGACATTGTTATTATTAAGAGAATCCCCCAGTTATAAGAAATATAATCCCCCATAGTATATCCCCATAAGCCATAGATCATAATAAATTCTCGATTCTTGATCGATTTATTTAAATTTGCAAGACGTTGATTGATTTATTTGTTAAGCTTAGGAGAGTCGCACAAAAAGACGACACACACAGGTCAACGGCAACAAAACGATTATTATTATTATTATTATTAAGTTATTACTGTTATGCATCGGATGGGGAATGCATATATATATGCACTGCATCTATTGCTATAGAAAATTTGAACACAATAAAGCTCTATATAGGGTGTCCTGTATATAGATCAAAGACACGCGTCCTTCCATTTCAAGTCGGAACCGACAATGTACAACTATTGATTGGGAGTTGGGAGCAAAAGTTAAGATCTGTTTCGGAATTATCGTTCAGCCTGACTAACCGTCTGTCATAGATAGACTTTGCAAGTGATTTTCGGTATTTAGTTTAGTTAATAGCTAGAGTTACAGTTAGAGTTACAACATTTATAGTATAGAGTTTGTGGAATTCGTATAAATACATGCACTTAACCATTACAAACTTTAGTCAAATTGTCTATCCATCCTATCCCACCACGAGAGTGGATTCTTTTCTCAGTTTTGGTTTCAATGTTTGTGAAGATCTTGCCGCCGAACTGGAAGACCCCAACGATTGTTTTGCATTTAATTAGTTGGCGCTACTAAGCCGTTCTCTAGGAGGCCGCGGGCCTATGGCAGCAGTCGGGAACATTAACGATTTAATATCTAGCTTCGAATAAATAAAGGTACAACTGGATGGCAACTCGAGGTGACTTTCTCCACAAATCTATAAGGTATGAGACTAAACTTCAACGATTAATAGTTAATGGAGTGACTCTTCAAATAAATGCTAAACAAAAAGCTAATCCGGAATTCATAGTCCAGCAGCTGGGCTATCGAACGAGTGCCAATGCTTTCTCCTTCCTGCCATAGTTGGGCCCCGTGGAGCGCTTAGGTTTTCCGCTTCTGGTCGAGCTGCTGCTGCGGTAGTTCCTCCTGCAGCTGCAGGATGTGCTCCAGCGGTTGGGGCCGTCCATCCTTGTCAATCAGAGCCGGCTTCACGATCCCGCCCTGGCGCAGCTGCTCGATGAGATTCACCAGCTGGAGGGCCTCGTACTCCTTCTGTTCCTCGCTCATGCCGTCCAAGGGGTTCGTCTTGCTGCGCGGCTCCACACAGCCGAGCACCGGATTGATGCCCTGTTGCTGCTGCTTGTACTCCTCGGTGTCGCTGTCCTCGCTGTCTGAGGAGTAGTCGGTGCCTTCCACACGGCGGCAGTCGAGGATGCCCCGCTTGGCGAACAGCCCGGCGGCGTTGCCGTAGCCGGTGTACTTGATCATCCGGCCCACGTCCTCCTTGCAGAGCACGAAGAGCAGCTCGGCGGCCAGGTCCCGGAGTATCATGGCGGGCAGTGTGAGGAAGCGGCACAGATGGTTGCGCAGCTCCTGGCCGATCTCCGGCCGCTGGCTGACGTCCCGGAGCGGCGGCAGTATCTCCTGGCGCAGGTAGTGCCTCATCACCCGGTCGCTGCGGGCGCACTTCACCAGCACGGTAAGCACCGGGGACAGCAGCTCGTGAGAGCTGGCCTCGGCCTCCTGCTGGGCCAGGGACTGGCGCAGGTAGCGCAGCAGGATGGCCAAGCTTCGAACGTTGCGCTTCTCGAAGCAGAGGGCACAGCACTGCCGTGGCTTGGCCCGGGCTCCAGACTCCTGATCCTTTTGCTTTTCCTGCGAATCGGAACTTAAAGATTTGAAAAGTAGTTACTAGCTTAGGTTACTATACCTTCTCCTCATTTCTGTCCCTTTGCTCCTCGGCATTGGAGCACCGCAGCGTGAGCTCCGTGAGGCAGCTGCCCGAGATGTTGGTCAGCAGATTGATGGCATGGGTGACCACGGCGCGCTCCTTGTCGGTGGACATGTCGCCGAAGCGCAGCAGCAGTTCGCGCAGGACGCCGGTTAGGTGGAGGCTCTGAATCTCGTACTCGTTGGGACTCTTGTCCGGGGCGCTGGTCACGTTGAACATCACCTTGAGCAGCTCGCAGATGATGTTGAGCTGCTCCTCACTGCCGGCGGCGGCATCCTCGCCGAGCTTGTCGTCCAGCCACTTGGTCATGTAGGTGAGGCCATTGAGATCGATTTGGAGGCGAGACCGGGCCGCCGGCTCGAGGGCGGTGAGCAGGAAGAGCAGCTTCATGTCGTAGTACTCCAGAGTAGAGGGATGCCGCATGGAGGAGGCCACACGCTTCAGGATCGCGTCCAGGCAGTGCTGGCGCAGACACTGCCGCCGGCAGTCGGAGCTCTGGTAGACCAGATTGCACAGGCACTTGAGGGCCTCGGCTATCACCTCCGACTGATCCTGGCTGGGCTCCTGCTGGGTGTCCGCCTGCTCCTTCTCCTGCTGCTTCAGTTCGTCCGGCGTGGCCGGCAGCTTCAGCGAACTGGCCTCGATCCTGGCCAACTTCAGCAGGACGTTCACCTCCTGTTCGATGTAGTTCGTCTGCAGGCTGAACTCGTCGCGCGTAAGAATCCTCACAGTGTTCAGGCACTGGGTGTGCAAGTGACTCAGCCGCTGGTCCTCCAGAATCCCAAAAATGGCCAGCCAGAGGTCGTGCCATAGGTTGTCCGTGCGGAAGCCATCAAAGATTAGCAAGTCGGCGTACTAAGTGCCAAAGAAAATTCGAAAAAGTTACAAAAAAATCCACAGAAAAATAATAAAAGGGAGTATCCTCCGGACTCTACTTGCCTTCGTATTGAATTCAGTCAGGATGGCGGCTATGTGGTCCGCATCCTTGGCCTCCAGACGCTTCAAATGATCCGCTTCCATGCTGACAGAATGCCAAACTCCGGGCCTGTATAATTGCTTCGTAATTAATTGGATTTTCTTCTCGTTTCTTCGCTTCTTTTTTGGGGTTTCGGTGGCGTTAAACAGCTGTTGAGCAGTGTGGCCAGGCAAGGCGGTGTTGCCACTTTCAAAAAGTCAGCAATAGGTGGCGCTGTTACATTATTGTTTGGAAATTGCAGTTTCATTTTATGTTTAATTTAGCATTAATTTAGATTTATAATTATAACTTTGAAACAAAAAAGGAAAATTTTGTATTTTTAAAAAAAAATTTATAATAATGCCAACCATTTATGAAGAATTTATTAAAATCTCAGTAATACTAGAGAGACTAGTAAATTCTTTAGAATGTTTAAAAATTTAAAATGTAGTATTTATAAATATAAATTTAATTGAAGAAAAAACATAATTTTTTATTGTTTTCTAAGACGCTAAAAAACGTCTCTAAAAAAACTATTTTAATATATTTTTTAATAGAACTATTAATAGAACCCTTAATTTTAAAAGTTCTTGAGCAAACCCACACAGTATTAAAATTTCGACACTGTATTTAACAAGTTTTTAAGCTTTAAAAAAAAAATTGTATTTAAAAATAAAACTTAAATCAAAATTAAACACCTATTTTAAACAAATTCTTGAAAACTTGTCATTAAAATCCTTTTTTTTTCCACCCACCCACTCAAAAACATTACAAAAACTCTCCTTAAGTTAAATAGTTTCCCAATTTGTTTTGTTTATTTACTCAAAATTACATTTTTGCGTGTACAGGTTTTTATTTAAAGAATTTGGTCTGCCGCCTTTATATCATGGTTAGTACAGAAACATTTATATATTTGTTTGTTTTGTTGTGAATATATATATATATATGTAATATATAATATACAATATATATATATAATAATAATTCGTTTAATTTGTATATAATTAGCGTAGGAAGCCAAGAAAGCCCGGAAAAACGGACCCGTAGCCGTAAACCGTAAACCGTAATCGTAGCCAGAGCGGATTTGGATTGGATTTTGGATTTGAATTCGGGGTTGAGGATCCATACAAGTGATCCCCTAGTGATCCGTGCTCGTGCCACAGGTCTGGTTGACCTTGAAGATGTTGGAGAGCTCGTCCAGCAAAGTCTCGTAGCGATAGGCCACCCTGATCTCCGGCACATTGGTGCGGGTGATGTCGTTACCCTGGATGCCATCCTCGAAGTAAGTGGGTCCCAGCCACTGTTGTTTGATCTGGAAAATTGATTAAATAAATGCAAGACAAATATAAAATTTAACTAGAAACGAATAGAATTTAACTTTAAGATATTCCAATTTATAAAAATCGGGTGTATATTGAGGAAGCACCTTGGGGACCTTCGATTCGCTTCGCAAGTTCCCTTATTATTTTAAAGAGGAATGGAAACCTATTGAAATATTTGCTTTAGATTTTTACTAGATGATACTGGATGGATAGAAAATCGATTGCAAAATATGTTAATGGAGTTTTCGACGCATTTCCCTCAAAAAGCTCTGTTAATAGAGTTTTCGACGCATTTCCCTCAAAAAGTCGAAATTTACAGGTAAAGCTGTTTTGGTAGAGGTTTGTTAGAAAGGTGCAAAAAATTGCAAAAGTATAATTGAATCTGGACAGCCGGAGGTAAGATGCCAGCTAATACATATTACAACTTTGAACTTATACTAAAAAAGTTTCGAAAACATTTAATTTTCTTAAAAAATAAGTAAAATAATTGATCTTTAACTTTACCGAAACTACAGCGATTTAAGCTATAATACTTTGTTGATTTCTGGAACAAATACTAATATATAATAATATAATAATACTAATATAATAATTGGGCATTAAAATCCCAATTTCAGTTAAAAGCGACAAACGATCTTTTCGCAGAAATGCAACGTTTTTTTTAGATTTAATGAAAAGTGGTATTGATTTGGCTCTGATTAGATATAGAAAGATATGATATTACTTGATAATATAACGTTTTTTTTTAAGGTTTTCTCACAAAAATTAGAATAGGAAATCAAGGAATAGGAATAGGGGAACAAGGTTGTTAAAAAATCGGAAATTAAATCGTTAAAGGAGTTACACTTAAGAATCTTACTGTATTAGGCATTACAGACATAGACATAGTCATTATTTTTCTCATATATGTATATTTAATTACCTATTCCGTTTATATTTATTTTTATTTATCTCTAAAATACTCACGTTATGTGGAAATCCGCTCATTATCACACTGTTCCTGGCCAGTTCGCACATGTCGCAGGAGCTTAGCTTCCAAACCTGAGCCGCAATGCTGTACTCCTCCATAAGGGGTTCCTTAGGGTTCACAGAAAATAATAAAAAAAATTTATAAAAATAAAAATAAAATATAGTAGAAGAAAGTAGAAGTAATCTCACCTTGGTGAAGTGGAATTGCAAGGGATCATCTGTGGAAAGGGAGATGATGAGACCCCGGGCCAAGTACTCCGGCAGGGGATTGCGGTGATAGTTGAGGAACAAGGAATTGTTGGAGAGCGGGGACATGGCGATGCCGATCTGGGTGAGATAGTAGAGATATTGGAGCACGGGGACCTTGCGCAGCAGGAGACCGTGGGAGATGTTCTCGGCCATGAGGTAGCCGCAGACCAGATGCTGTACGGGACCGGCTTCGCCGCAATGGGGACGCAGAACAAAGGTGTTCAAGCCACGTTTTCTAAAAGATATAAATATTAAAATAAATAATGGATAGAGGGACATGGTACCTACTGTCTAAACTTGTTGAGAACCGTCATATTTGCGTACATATAATAGATATAGTAGGCATATGGCGGATTTTCCTCGTAGTTCCACTCCTCCGGACGGGGGACATCGTTGTCGAAGAGCGGATTCTCCGGCTTGGACTCATCGTCGACGGAATCGAAGCCAATCACATACTGAAGGAACCTGTGCAGGTCCGGATGCTCGCTGGGGCGTGCTGTCGCCTGGAAGAGCGGCAGGAATATGTTGTTCAGGATCTCCTGGAATGACTTCATCATCTTGTTTGACTTGAAAATGTCAAACAGGCGGGGTATCTGGATTAGCCAACGGATGTTGGAGCTATAGACCCCGTTGTCGATGGCCCATTTGGCCAGTTTGCTCCATTCGTCCGGAGACTTTCCGTAAATGGATAGGCGCAGTTCAGCATTTTGGTATTTCGACTCCTCCAGATCAAAGGCGACTTCCTGGAAGAATATTTCAGATTAAAATGAGGTATTTCTGGGCATTATGATACCTGGTACTCGTACCTTTATAATCTGGGCAAAGTACTTCCCATTCAGATAGTTGTCCGTCTTGAGGAACACCTCCCTCAGCCTGGACTCCCCGATGGGATTGTACTTGGAATTGAACTTGTCGAAGCGATGGAAGGTGTTCCTATCGGCATGTACGTCCAGCATGTCCACGGTGAGGTCATAGGTCGTCAGATTCATGGACTGGAAAACCTGGGCCAGGGTCATCGGCTGTCCATTCGTGCAGGTAACCACCTCGTTGGCATTGTTCTTCAGAGTCTTCTTGATGAAGCGCAGCAGATGCTTCTGGTTCATGCAGGAGGCGGCATGGATGTGGGTGTCCACCTTGCGGGTGTTGTAGAAATCCCTGTGAGGCACCGCCTTCTGGGCGGCCAGTTCGCGCAGCTCGTTGAGGAGGACGTGCATCTGGTATTTGGAGGACAAGTAGCACAATCGTCGGTAGCAGAAGGATTTTCTAAAGATTATAGGGCTTATTTATTTAGTATATCTTGGTATTTTTTTGGTATTATCTTACAGTGGCCCATCGGCTATCATGTTGCACATAACCTGCATGTCATTTACAAACTGGCTCATGTCCGGATACTCGAATTTCAACTCATTGTTTTCGTCCTTAAAAAAATGGTTTAAAAAATATTTAGTTAATAAACTTTTACATTTTTATTTTATTTAATAAACACTCACCCCATTCTCATATATATGAAACACTCCATTTACCGGCTTGATCAGGAAATTCTCGTCCGGAGGAAACTCCACATTCCAGGGATTTGTCAGCTTCATTTGGGATGGCCTCGGATGGAAATCTGCATTCCGCGAAGGATTGGTGTTTTGTGGTGTTCGGGTGTCGTTTATTTGGTTTATTGTTGTTGGTTTGGTGAATTTTAGAAAAAGTTTAAAAAAATAGAATTTCGTTTAGTTGCAGTGGCGTTGAAACAGTGTTTTTAAGCATTTAAGAGTTAGTGGCAACTCAACACTACGCTTAAGGATACGTGCGAGTGTTGTTGCTATTTGAATGGTAGTTTTTTGGTTTTGAATGTTTTAGGGTGGACCTCTAGAAATTTTATAATACTTTTCCAAAAAATATATTACGAAGTTTCTGATACCACTACGAATAAGTTATATATTTACATATTTTTAAACTAAATGCCAGGAATAAAATAAAAAACAAATATCATAGAAATAAAAGTCGAAAATAACTGGGATTTTTAAAGCTAATATTGAACGTAAAGTATTTATATAATAAAAAATATAGGAATACATCTAAATATATGTATGTTTGTACAAATAATTTGTCCTTACTATTGTACAAAAGTTATATAAAACTGCTCATACCTTAAACAACTTACATGAAACAGAAACTTACTTAAACAGAACTATTTCCTATTCTAACATATATAATAATCCTTTAATTTGAGAACCTCTTTTTAGAATTTAAAAATTTAGTTACTTTAGTTTTAAACAACATACATAAGTATTAAGTGAAATCTTAACATAAATAATCTTGGCTGGAAAGTAGTGAAAGTCTGAGTGAGAGTAGGTCGATCGAAGAAACTGGAAAACTTTAGCATCACCGCCATATTTAATTTTCCGTTTTTTTTTCATATTTAATTTTACGCTCTCCCTATTTTCGTGTTTTCCTCTTAGTATTCAATGCTTAGTCAAGAACTGACTTAAATTGTGTCTTTTGTAATATCCTTTTTTAAAATATTTGCTTAAAGACTGATTATAAAATGACTTTTCCTTCCAAAAGACTGAATAAAAGTTTAACAAGTGAAGTAATCGCATCATTGTCCAAAGTAAACTATTAACATAGATTTTTAATAAATTTCGAGATAAATCTTCAAATATGATGAAATTTATAACTCCTTCTCTCATTTGTGAGTGGAGAAAAGAAAATGTGTGGATGGCATTTATATCCCCAGAGCAGCGATTCTAGGATAAATAACGTAGTATAAAGAACTTATGTAAAATGTATATATTCTAAATATACATATAAATATTTAATAAAATTCATGGAAGTTTTCATGATTATTTTGGTATTAATATCAGTATTCTAACAATTGGTCCTTATTTTATTCATAAGTTTAGAAATAATTATTTTTAACCTTGAATTCTGAGACATATTATTGTTCTTACAAATATATTTAACAACCCTAATACTCCCTAGGCTTTCACTAAATAAGTAACTGCAACTACTTTCTGAAAACTTAGTTTATACATATATTTATAAATCACCTTTTTATTTCCTTAAAATCTTAAAAAATACTATATAATTTCGAGGTCCAACCTTAAGTGTTACTTAACAAATAGACATCATAAAATTGTTCTACGAAAGTGATCAACGTTGAGCGTGTCTTTCCTTTTGTACAAGGTTTTGCTTTCTGAAAGGTCTCAAGAATAGACAAAGTGGAAGAACTCTGAAGCAGACTACGAATTTGTGAGTTTGTGGGTTTATTTTTCTAAGCAAAACACAGATTTTTAAAATAAACGCACAAATAAACAAAAACTAAAAGCATAACAGGCAGTAAATAACAAAAAACAAACAGATTTTATAGAACGCATTTCAAATGTGAAACGAAAGCGGAAATTAACTTTCATGCGAGTGCGGAGGCCAGGCATTAGAATCAGTGTGGCCAACTCAGGTTTTTTTTGAAAAACGTGTGACCCTCTTTCAAAAAGATGTTTAGTATTTTAAAGATTTGTATCACAAGAGGTGTTAACAACAATTAATTATTAACAATTAAAGTTAATCCACACTGATTAAAATTGTATTTGCAGTTTTTGTTTTTGGTTAAGGCGAGCGGAGCAGGTAGAGGACGAAGAGGTAGAACTCTCCTTTTGGAATTCAAACAGAAAAGGAAAAAAGGATACAGATATAGAAAAGTAAAATAGGTGGCAAGGATAGTTTGGAGCTTGCTGAAAGGTGGTGGTGGTGGTGTGCGCACGAATTACCTTGTATGCTCGAAACACTCATTTTGCGAATGATTTCTATAAGAAATAATGAAAAATACGAGAAGAGAAATAAATAGTCGATACGAAATCAAGGTAAAACATAAAAGAACTGAACGGTAAAATATATATATAGGGAGAATACTAATACAGATAGTTTACACTTTAAAGTCAGATGATAAATAAAACAGAAAAAAAGACAGGACTAGGCACGAGAGTAAAAAAGCTAGCGGAGGCAACAAAGAGACGGACACAGGAGGGCAGCTATCTGGCAACTCTGGCAGAGGTACAGTTGACACAACACAAAGGCCAAGCCTCGACTTGTATGATACAGGACCCGCTCGGGAGCAGATCGATTGCTGAATTACTTGCTGGTGCATTATAACGCTCATGTACAACAAATTCCTTTTACAAATATTTACACATCGATATATACAGTACAGTGGATTGGATCGATTCTTGAACTTATCGATCCATCCTCATCTACAGGACACAATACTCGTACAAAGGTAGACCGATAGCAGTTCGATAACTGATAACACTGTGGGACTTGGCTTCTTTTGCATTCGCTGGATGGGGGCTGAATTTCTGGGATTATTGGATTTCAATTTTCTTACCCGACACCGCCTTGGCGGGCACATTGTCGATGCGATCCTTGAGGCGCACCGTCTTGAGGAAACGGGCCGTGGTCGAGGGGAAGGACTGATCCGACATGTTCATGTAGTGGCTTCGCAGGCGCAGTGCCTCGATCAGGAGGGTGGAGGCCCTCTCCAGATCCTCCAGGGGCACGCCGCTGGTGTCCTCGCCGGAAATGGAGACGCGCTGAAAGTTAATGTCGGCATCGTTCCTGTCCATATCGAACTCGGAATCGTGTCCCTCAACGCTGCTGGAGGATTCTCTGAGCGGTGTCGGTACCTGTGATGTGGTAGCCGCACGAGGTACAATGGCCTGCCTGGAAGATAAACAAATATTTAGGGATTTAATATGGTCACTTTATAACAAAATTCTTAAATGTTCTTAAAAGTTATAGAATTTTTAAATTATTTTTTAGTTTCTTTCTAACCACTTGGAGTCGTCGGGTTGGTATTCGTAGCAGCGCCCAAAACTATAGCTGTCATCCGCAAACGACATCCTCGACCGACTTCCGACCACCAAATGCTCCAGAAAACCAATGACAACTATAGACCAGTGTCAGTCTTTGGTGGCCAAAATGTTAATGATCGATTGACCAGATGATTTATGGCAAATTTTCAACTCGGCACGCTATAAGGATATAATCCTACAACCCCCAAAAAAATAAATTCACCTCTTCTACGATTATCTTCTACTTCTAAAAAAATAGATGAAGAACTTGCGTGTTTCGATTGACTATTCTAAAAGAATTATTTCAATTGTCTCACAAGACAAAAAATGGTAATTAACTAAAAAATGGTTTAGTTCAGTTCTTAAACAAGTCTTAAAGTTTTTTGAAAACTCTGCTATCACAAGCCTCAAAATGCTTGAGTTTATATAAATTTTAGTCACTTTTAACTAAATAGTTGTTCGTTTTATAATAGTTATAGTTTTTGATTAATTAAAGTACCACAATCAAGTTAAAAACTGTGAAAACTATTTAAAATACCACCGCTTTCTTCAAGATTTCTAAAAGTTGGTAAGTTTCTTGTGTTTCTTGGGGAGCCCCAACTATGGGGGGCTGTCCCCGATTTTTTTGCGTGCCGAACTTGTCAGGATTCGCAAAAGAAAAATGAAAAAACTTGAAGTGTCCGTGCGAGTTGGGAAGTTTCTTTGGCTTTTCTTGTATTTTGTTTTTCAGCGACGCTTTCCGTGCGACACGAACAGAGAGGCGATGGCTGTTAGTGGGGCACGGTGGGTGGGTGGATGGATGGTTGGGTGTTCTTTGGCTGTTCTTCGATGGCTCAATGTCAGCGTAGGTCGCCCAGGTGGGTTTGACCAAAAGTTCCGTATATTTTCCTTTTTTTTTTTTTGGGGCGCGTTTGTTATAATGTTTTTGCGCGGCCCGGGCTGGCCGTTTATTGGATCGGATCGGAGCGTACTGAAAGTGACGGCATTTGGCACTGGAGGTTCTAGTGGTGCCATGGTGGTGGCTCGGTTCGTTATGGCATAAGCTTCAGTTCCACCACCGTAAAAGCCAGCGAAGATAGCGGACAGCGGACAGAGGACAGCGGACAGAGGACAGCGGACAACCCATTCGTTGGCGGTGATGGAGGTTGCTGCCTAATGCAGTTCTATTCAAAATCAAAACGTGTTCAGCTTGGTCCAAAAAACCCAGACACTCTTGTACCTTCCACTCACTTTGGATGTGCCGTCCCGCCCCTGCACCACCCACTGCCCCCCACCTGGTGGGGCAGCCAGCAGCTAATTGCAACGCGTGCAACGCTTCGATGTTGCGGCCACCTCATTACGAGGCTATTGAAAGTGCCATGGAAACTAATCCAGACACATGGAATAATTTTTCTTAAATATTTTAAAACAAAAGATATTTTTGTTAAAAATTTCTTGATTTAAAAACAAGGCACATTGTTTAAAGTACTAAAGCTTAATCCCCTATTTTTTATATATTCTTTAAATTTCTTGTGTATTTGAAATAGTACGAAAATAAAAACCACTCCAGACACATATTGAATATAATAATTGTTATATTTTTCACGGTGTACATTTAGTAATTCTATGGCTTATACGGGAAAGCTAATCTTAAAATAGAACCAGACTTTCAGAGATAAGAATAAAATCACGAGATCTATGAAAATAAAAACCAGACGACTTTAAGGTTCCAAACACAGAAAAAAATAAAGATGTAAAAGATTATTTAAAAGGCGGAAAAATTATATAGTAAAGTTTAAAAAATATTTTTGGAAATCTATTCCAAAATAACACATTTCAAAAGGCATTTTTAAACCGTTTGGAGATCTTCTTGAAGAAAAGAAACTCTACCTTATTTTTCATGTTTCAAACCAGGGTTATTACTTATTATTTATTAATATTTCTTTGCCTTTTCAACTTTTAATTTAAAGTTTCACGGAATACACTATTTTCTTACGTTTAAAATGTCTTTTAACAAATGCTACGATTTGCAAATCAGAATAATAACTGAATTAAACGAAAGGCAAGCAAATAGACTTTATAGAATGCCCAGATAGCTTTATTGATAAGCCAAGATTCAAATAGATAGTAAAATTGTATATTTTTTTTGTAAATTTTAAATACAAAATTAACTCACTTTTCATTGAGATGGCGCTGGATTTGTAGCTTTTTTTCAATCTGTTCAATGGGGAACTGTGGCACCTCGTAGGGGGCCGAGATCTCGTTGGTCAGTTCAACATCCGACTCGCCCTTCTCCTCCACTGGTGAGTCATTGAGTTCACCTGAAAAATACATCAAATAAATAAATATTAAAATTAAAATATATATTAATAAAAACAAATGAAGATGTGGCATAATTTATTTCTAAAAAACCGAAGAACCTAAAACAAAAAAACCTACAGCTATCATCTGGCTGGAGCAGAGGTGAGGAACAGGTGGGCGAGTCTGGAGCCGGATTGCCCATCACCTGGTCGCCAAAGAGCCGGACATCCACCCGCAACCGGTGGGCGGTATCCATGCGATTGAAGTTCATGGCAAAAACAAAGAAAGACACTAAACACACAGCGAAATGCGGAGAAAATTGGAAAATTGTCGCGGAGATCGATGGAAAACTTGTAACCTGAGCGAGAGTTGGCGTCTCAATGAAAACAGAGATCGGATCGGATCGGAGCGAAGAATTCCAGGCCGAGACCTAACCGGCGCCGGCAGAGCAGCAGCTGCGCTGCAGCAGAGGCGCATCATCTTTGACAGCATCACAAAAACAACAAAATAACAAAAATAAAAAACAAGCAAAAACAAAATTATAACAACTTGGTGAAGAAATAACAACCAAATCGATGGCTGATTACAAATTTGCAAATAAAAAAATTTGCTATAAGAAAGAGGGGTGCACTGAAAGAAAAAATATAGTCATATAATAAAGAAACATGGTGTAAGTAATAGAATTGTATGTGATTATTAAGAAATTATTATTCAAAAGTATACTTTTTATTTTTCTTAAAATGCGTATGTTTTAAAATGTCAAGAATCATTTTGTTTTTCTCAGTGCATAAAGCAAAGACCAAGGGGGCTGAAGTATCAGAGAGATAGCAAAAATACGGGACAAAAATCAAAACACGCACTTCAACAAACAACAAACAGGCTGTGGAAAGTTTCTAACCACGAACTACCAATACCCTTATCAAGGTCAAAAACAAGTTCAGTTATTAAAGTAATTACAGCTATTAAATTTTAAATTTGTAAAAATAATTAAATAGTACAAAAAAAATGCTCTTAGCTTTTTAAAGATTTTTTCAAAGTATTTCTGCTTTCTTTGGAATAAAAACATATATACATTGATGTACATAAATATAGGTGAATAAATATTTTTTTTTTAATATGTAGGTTAGTGCCACTCGCATCGGCCCACACTTGATAACAACAACAAACAATAATCATGAAAAACAACAAAAACAAAGCTGAACTTGAGTGATAGACAGCGCAGTGGCTGAGCAGTTGCTGCGCTGCCTGCGTGGGCAAACAACAAACAACTGAAAGAAAAACAAACAACAAATCGTAAACAACAAACAGCGTCATACACTAGTATCAAATAAAAGTATCTTTTGCTTTAAGAAAACTAACTGAAAAAAAAAAACCGAATTTTTCTTTAGTTTTAAGGACTGGAGTGCCAGTCGTTAAAATACGTTTAATTAAGTTTTAGTATAGTTAAGTTTTAAGTAAGCTTAATTTATAAAACAGATTTTTCAAATACATAATTTTATGTGGCTTTATTTAAGTATGTATGTATTATGTTATTAGTATTATTTGTTATGTATATAGTTTTGGAATGTTTCACTATATTAATTGTGGCTATGTGAGTGACAAATATGTGGGTGACAAAATACTAATACGTTTAGCTTCATAAATGTATACTAATTGGAAAAAATTATAAAAATAAGCTCAAAGTACATAAAAATAGAGTGTATAAAAAGTGTAAAAACTTCAACTCCTTAACTTTCCATAGATAACTTTTTTTAACATGAGCATTCGTCACAGAAATTGTAACTCCTCAAGAGGTTACAATCTATACCTAAGAGTTAATTTAATAATGAAAGGCTAACAGTTAAATAAATTATTGAATTTCAAACGAATTCTAATTAATTCTAATACCAACGTATTTTATACGAAAAACAGAAAACTTTATTTTCGTCACCAATATTCAAAATATTTTGATCTTGGCGTGGGTATTTAACCTCAGATAATACCTCATTTAAAAGGATGGTGATTTTCAAATATTCAATATATGTATGTACATACATACATACATGCCTTTTTTATAAATTATAATTTTATATTTTTCAAAAAGCGATTTTGGTTGACCTTTTTCTAATTTCAACTGTTGCTTTTAGAAGAGCTATGCAAATTTCTATGCCACTGTTTTTCGACCCTATGCTGTGGTATTTGTTGACAAAACACAGGCTTGAAATTTTTTTTGCCGTGTATTCACTTACACTTGCAACTATTTGAGGGCTGCTGCCCCTTCTGACTGCCTTTAGAGCTCAGGTGCGAGGTGTCCTTCGACACCGGTATGGCATGAGACATCACGGAGCCGTCGAACGAGTCCGCGTCCTGGCCGCGTCCATCCCTGGAACTCGAAGAGTCCGAGGTGCTCAGCATGCCGCGGTACGACATCTTGCGGGCTTTGGGTGGGATCCCTTTGCCAAATCCTTGATAAATCCAGGCAGCTACGATAATTTACCGATTTCCTTGCGATTTGTTTGTTTTGGATATGGGAACTTTGAAATTTTTGATTCGTTTGTTTTATATTGTAGGACACTATTTGTATTTTTGGTTGAATTTGTTTTGTTTTATGTAATTTTCCCGGTGACAGGTGGCGCCGCACAGCTTGAGATTCTGCTCCGGGGGGAAGTCTTCGGGCAACTGAGGTGGTATCGGAACGAATCGTATCGGATCGGTTGGATATATTGGCGAGGTGTATGCGAAAACCCAATTTAGTTCAAAATACTTTCCGACGCAATTCGCGAATTTTTCTACGCGCTTGTTTTTAGCTTTTTTTTCGCCGTTGTAGCCTTTGTCTGGCTCCCCTCTTATCTCTTTCTCTCTTTACACTAATTCTCTGGTTAACACCTCTCCCGATCTGCTGTTGATCCAAAGTTTATATATGCGGAAAAGTTGTGGGAGAGCTTTCCCACCCGAAACCAGAAAAAGCTTTCGCTCCCACAATGTTTGCTAATTATAAACAAAATTCTGGATAAACAAATGGCATACATATGTCTAAGATGTACGAGATCAAAGCTCTTTGAACTCTATGGGGTTTTGTAGTATGTAGTATCTCCATTCAAATATATTATTGATAAATCTTTTGTATTTATCTAGAAAACAAAGGTAGGGTAAAGGTTAACTCACTTATAAGCTTCTGAAATTGTTATCAGAGTCTAGGAACTCTATGAAATAGTTACTTCTTTAGGAACCAAGTTCTTTAAGAATCTGACCTATAATTTTAATAATTTTTTTTAAATATATTAAAAACATAGTATTATGCTATTATCATAGTGGTTTTAAGATCCAAAAAATCTGAATAAACACCAATGGAACATATTACCATTTAGACATAAAATGCAGAACAATGTTCTTCCAGAGATATTTTCAAATAAAATAGCAAACAAGAAAATTATTAGCTTTGATTTAAAAGCTAAATAAATTTAAGTCTTTCTCAGTGGCGGATTTAAGGAAAAAGGCCCACTGGGCAAAATTTTTTCAGGGTACATTGAAGGGTAATTTGAAGGGTACAGCCCAGAAAATTTGACAAAAAATCTTTAAAATATTTTGTTCCCAAATTTTGATGCAGATAAAGAATCGATCCACAAATCGTTTAAAGTATTCCGCTCAAGAATCGGATGAATATTTCCTAAGATATGGCCTTCGCAGTGGGTCATATGGGGCTCCCCATGCATTTTGCACATTTTGAAGGGGACAGCCCAGAAAATTTGACAAAAAATCTTAAAAATATTTTGTTCCCAGCTTTTGATGCAGATTTATGGAGAATCGATCCACAAATCGTTTAAAGTATTCCGCTCAAGAATCGGATGAATATTTCCTAAGATATGGCCTATGCAGTAGGTCATATGGGGCTTCCATGCATTTCGCACATTTTGAAGGGGACAGCCCAGAAAATTTGACAAAAAATCTTTAAAATATTTTGTTCCCAGATTTTGATGCAGATTTGTGGAAAAGAAATCGAAGGTGTAACTTTCAGCACGAGGGGCCCTGAAAGCCTTTCGTCGGGGGGGCCCAGTGGGCAAGCGCGCCTTTGCCCACCTGTTAAATCCGCCACTGGTCTTTCTTTTGCATTTATTATCTTGGAAAACCACATATTTAGTTTACCAAGTAGCCACTTTTAAGGCTTGTTGAATTAAAAATGTTTAGATTTACTTCAAAAAGAGATAAGGGAACAATAGCCATCTAAAATAATTTCTATTTCTGCATCAAAAAAGGCGTCAACTCAATGAAGTAGTATAGTATCTTTGAAACTATTTTGTCAAGATCGTTGATAAAAAGCGCAAAGATAAGATTGATATTTTTTAGATTGGTAACTTTCCTAAATTAGTAAGGAAGCAGGGCTTGTCTAGTTTTATATATAATTTCCGTGTATTTTTGTGTATCTTTCGGCTGGTTATTATTTCAACGCCCTGTCAAATTCAGTTAGCGATCCATAGACCGAAATTGGTTGGAAGAATCGTTAGATTAGCGCCAAGTTGTTAATAACCGATAGGGTATGGTTGTTGTGATAGCTCTATAAGTAAACTCAGTTTGTTCAACTGGGTCTCATTTTTATACTATATATATCGGTTTTTATTCTTTTTGGGGGCACATGCCTAAATGCAAGTCATTGGCAGTTCATTTTGGCGATACGACGACGAAAATATAAATACATTTCTGAGACACATACGGTATGTTTTTGTTTATCTGGCATGCGAGCTACAGTTTATTATTTGCATATAGATATTATTTTATTTTTATGCTTTATTTTTGGCTTTGTTTATGTGTTTATTGATAGAATTGCGAATTGCGAACTTATTAATTGCTGCTTTCATTTCTGTGTTTTCTTTTTATTTTTGGGCACTTTGCCCACTAAAATTTGTTGATCAGAAATTGATTTTCTCACATATTAGTATGAAAAAGTTTCCGTCTGGTTTTCCCCACTTGCGTAATATTTGGCGGAAAATTGTGTGTTTTCTTTGGTATTTCCACTCGTTTCGACTTCGCGCAGTCAACTGATTTGATTTTCCACTCATATTTGTCCAACTCGCCGGGCTACGCCATATACTGGTGTGTAATAATAAATAAATAAACGATTTGGCATGACTAACTGCAGTCAGTATTAGTTTCTCAAAGTTTCTCAGACTTTCTCATTTTCATTTCAATTTTCTCCGACTTGCCGCCAAAGAGAACAGCACTTCGTGTTGAAAAACAAAGAGAACAACTGTCCCATCTACTCAAAATATATGGGTGAATAAATAAAACAAGAAAACCCCGGAATGGTATCACAAATAAATCATTCAGATGACGGTGGGGCAGGTGGAAAAGTGAGGCGGGAAAAAAGTCTTGCCATTGTTTTCTTTGTTGGCGCCCGCCTTTTCATTATTTGTTTCTAATTGGAAAACCCTGACCTATGCCAGACGGACAGTGGCCAGCTGTTGGGGGATACAGCACAGGTGAGATTAATAGGGTCAGATATAGAAATAAATTTTTAAGTGGGATGTAAGGTATAATCCATTTTTTTTTAAATTACTTAATAAACCTATGAATCGCTCACGTAATAACCTTATGAATGCAAAGATAATAAATTAAGTTCCGTCATCAGTATCGAAAAGAGCGAAAATATCCATTTATTATTTGTTTTTATTATTTATGTATTATTTATTGGTTTTTGATATTTTACCCTGCTTTAAGACTGCCTTTGGCTAACAATATGAGGAAAAGAATGCTTCATAAACTATATTTCGATTCTAGAGGATTCTAGACGATGAGTATCGGGTATTAAATACCTCAGAGTATTAAAGATAAATTGATTTTAACTTTTATTTTATTTTGACACACAAAGATATTATACTAACACTGAGTAAAGTAACACTTTTTATATTTCATATTAGTTTTTAAGAAATATAAGAAAAAAACTTACAATTTGTGATTGATTGATTATTAGACAAAATGAATTACATTTTAAGGGTTTGTGTTAAGTACAGTGTATTACATACATAGTTGAAAAGCTTTAGTACTAAATTCTTTAAAGGATAATACCTGATTACGCAGTTTAAGTTTTGTAAATATGTATACATATGTATATAGAAACAAATTTTTAATTAAAAGTTATAGGGTAATGAAATTGAAAAATCAAGATCCGGGTATTATATTGAGAAGCAAGAGTACCGGCTAGTGCATAGCTGAGAAGCTTTTATACTAAATACCCTATAGTTTAAACGACTATAAACGATAATACTCGATTTTTCGGTAGAAGTTGTTTAAGAAATATAGAGAAAAAAGTTTTAAAATTAGAAGTCATACGGTAATAAGTACGTAGTAATTCTAAACTAGTCGATAAACTAGTAACTCTAAACTAATTATATAGCAATATAGCTATGACATATAAACTATAGCTCAAAAATGGTAGTTTAATTAGTCCTCTTACAAAGGACACAACATAGTAGTTCATAAGATTTTCGAGCACTCTTCAACGGTACCGGATAATACTTTAAATTTATTTTAAAGAATTATAACAAAGACTTTTATTTAAAAACCCACACATCTGAATAAAAATCTTTTATTGACCTGTTTATGAGCGAACATTTTTGAATAAAAACATTCCGAATAGTTGGCAAAAACAAGACAAACAAAAGCAGGCCCTTGCTGTTGAGTTCCTGCCTCAGTTTAGTTGATTGAACACAACACATTTCTCATGAAGACGCGGGACACATGTCAGACGTGTGACTGCCCCAATTGAGTGGATCTAGATATGGTGATGTATCCACATATTTATAAACACATTCGTCACAATAGGAACCATATAGATGGGCCCTAGATGGCCAGATAATGGATTTCCACGAATGCCCAGCTCATATAGAGAGTTTTGGATGTTAGACTTTATTCATGGGGACTATTTATAGACCGATAAGAGAAATGTTGGGGCAGGAATACTTGAATATTAGAGTACTGGGGTAAGAGTACGAGTATGGGTAGAGCTGATAACCGACAAACAAGAATATAAACAAGAGGTACCGGAAAAATATACATATACAGAGAACTAAAGGGCCACGTGTGACTTAAGAGTTGGTTCATTTAAGGGGTTTACTTGTTTAAACATTAAACGATATATGGGGGATTTCAGTTTATTCTCTAAATTTTAATTTTAAAACCTTTTCCAACTAATCTTCTTTCTTTTCATATTTTTTCCTCAACACCCATAGTTACAATCCGATACTTTTATCGATATTTATGGTCTCTGTCTATCGCCATCTGTAAGCATCATAAATAATGTTGGCCAAACAATAAGTCGGCCCTGCTGTTCACTAGATTAGATTAAGCTGAGCAAATTAATATGAAGTTGGTGGCCAGGGTTTTGGGTTACTTTCGGTACTTTATGACCAAAAAACCACCCAGGATGACTCAAGACAAACAGCAGTTTGGCTAATTGGGCCACCACACACTACATACCACCATCCCATCCAGAAATATTATCCCATAATTTTTGTGGCATTTTTTCCTTTGGTTTGCATAAGTCTGGCGCATGTTTAACCAATTTTCTAAATGGCTTCGCTTCGTTTAGTTTTTTATTTTTTTTCAGTATTTGCTCTTGGTTTGTTTGCTGCATCAACAATATAAAAAAATGGTGAAAAAAAGCTAAAAACAGGTAACACAAAAGCGCTATAGAAATGCAAAGTAAACAAAAGAGTTTCACAGAAATCATCATAAAAAGAAAAGTGTTGTGCCAGCATAAGGTGGGAGGCCTATTTAGAATTTGTTTAAAAAATAATTCATCCAAAATACTACTACTTCTCACAGACTCTACAAGGCATCTATTCAAACCACTTTTGAATCGATAATGATT